GAAATCATGTGTTTGGTGAGCTATAAGGGTACTACGTTATATATTCTAAATATTTACTAGGACGAGGACTTCACATAATTAAGATCGAACATCACTTACAGGTAAGTTCGTTTGATCATGTCATTATGCGTGATACAGTCAACATACTGGAATACTCTCAATAGTTATCTAAAATGATTTCCTATATTTCACCCAAAAAACTGTAATACCTTGTTAACGCTGTGAACTTCCTTTTCTCTGCAACAGCGTTACTCTTTGTGTCCCTGATTTGTAAAATCACCTTTCCGATGTGCTTCCCAGTCATCATATACCTAAAATTAAAATTAACGCATTTGCTATAGTACTTAAGTCTTCGATATGATTAAATAAATATTGACAAGCTTTCTTACAAACGTCACACTAATGAAACTGAAATTACCTAAAGGCCTGTTCGACTTCGTTCATTTTGAATACAGTCCTATCCAGTGGTTTTGCTACTCTCTTGTCCAGCAAATCATCCAAAAGTTCTATCACAATCTTTTTTTCTTTGGGAGTAGCCCACATCACATAATCTAGAGCCACGCCTGAAAGTCAAACAATACACGGACTAAAAATCATCGGAAATTATCTAAACCTATTTTTTTGTCAATACAGCGCGCATCTAGCATTTGTATGACACTTGGATATCTTAGATAGTTTCGTGGAGGAAGTACTTGCTTAATACTTACCAATGAATGAAGCTCCTCTTTCCAATAACATCAAACTCATCTTGCTGTTCCTTGCTATATCGAATTTTCCTATTTCGACGAATCTACCTCCTCTCGCAAGACATTTCACAGAAGTGATCAACTTCTCTTCTGACAATGAATTGAGAACTATGTCGACACCTCTCCCTTTAGTTTGCTGCATCACCATTTGTTCAAAACTGACATCTCTCGAATTACCGATGTTGCATGCTGAAAATTATATTTCAAGCTGCAACTATTTCTCTAAGGTATAAATGAATACAATAATCCTGAGCTTAGTGCTTTTGAACGGAATATTCAGAATCCCAGCTTCGTATACCAAGATCCTATGCAACAACCAAAGTAAAGGGAATATGTGCATTCTGTAGCACTGACCTTGACACTTAATGACCTCGGCTGTGATAACGTCAGTAATATATCATTAACCTAAAGGCATATATGTTACCAAGGGACATCTTTGCTTATTTTGTGGCATATTCCGCCAGATTGTACATAGGAGGAATGAGGAAAAAACAAGGTGACTATGAATTTCGCGAAATACTTTTAGTCAATCTTAATTTTCTTTCTTTTTATGTCGATGTGCTCGTGTCCATAGTATATATTTGCAGTGTCAGCTAAAAAGTATTATTTGTTTGTTTATGAGACGACACATTAATGGTTGCAGGTGTTGGACCCAATGGGGTGACCAAATCTTTGGTTAGGAACAAGATAACGAGACGCGGTTTTCGCGAGCTTGTTTAGTCATCATTTGGCTACTTTTAAAAAAAATATACCAATGCATTTAGCTTCTTTGAGGAAATTAATCATTCCTAGCGGCGACATGTGAAACTTACAAAACTTCATATATTATGACATTTGTAACACAAGAATAGTTATTTTCAACTAGACAAACTTTGTTAAAATCTGATCAGCCGTTTAGAAGATACAGGGTGTTTTTTATGGAAACCTTCGCATCCCCCGACCACTTTATTTTTAGAAATATAGCAAAAATTGTTAAACAAAAAAGTTCACATTATCCTCGTCTTGAAAGATCAGGTATTTTTTAACGATTAATATAGCGAAATTCACAGGAACATCACTTTTTTAGATTCAAGATTGCAGTTACGCCCCCTAGCGGTCATTTCAGAAACTTGAAAATCTTTTCAAGGTCTTTCTCTCGGTCGTTCTAAAAGCTTTTTTGCCGCAAGCCTCTACGATCGACAGGTTCCCACATACAGTATCTCTCATTCTTAGTTGGCACCCTGTACCTCAAACTTTGACAAAAAAAAATGGAATCAACTGCTCCAAAATACCTACAACCTGGATAGTGGCAATTGCGTGAGATGCTCTGAGTAAAAATAATTAGAAGCTCTTCCAAACAGGACACAAAGATGTTAAGGAAGACGCTCTTTCTAGATGCTTCAAAACGGCAATAACTGACGATCAAGGAGTCGTCTCGTCTCGTCGTTGTTATTTGAGCGGTCTGCAGGACCTTTTTCTCTTGTCCAGCAACATGTGGGACGACAAATCTATCGCCGGTTTCAGGAATATTTGTTGCACCAAGGCTATAGATCCATCAATCAGGGCTTGATGAAGTTTACGTTTTTGCAGATATTCTTTATCCCACAAGCGTTCCAGAATAGAATTTTTAAAAATGATGACCGCCTTGTATCACTAGACATTTACGTCCCTGTTACTAGATGCGGAAAAACAGCCTTCAGGGCTTACGTTGCGTGCAGAAGAGGAGCTATAATCTGTTCAAGTGATTTCAAGACAGTTGCTAAATCATTAACTGGGGCGGACTGTGAAGTGTTCGAATTTGTATTGCTGGAAGAGGCAACAGCAGTATAGGTTGTATTCGAATTTAGAGAAGTAGCTCTATGCTGTCGCTCTCATAAAAGTTCAATATTTTTTTTGAGGACAAATTTACAGCCTAAGCTATTTGCTGGATGATTTTGGCCACAGCTTGCACAGGTGGCATTGTGATCTGTAAGTGGTCACAGAAAGGTAGAGAAGAAGTTTCCGAGCCCCTCCCAGTCAGCATGTCCGTAATGCTAAGTTTTGCGGCCTGTACGGGTTTCTGCTGCCACAGCGGGTTTCTGCTGCCACAGCGGATTCTGACCGATGCTTAACCTCCATAACACCGAAAAAAGTAGGGCTCGTCACCAGCTGGGTCAGCCCTTGAGTAAGAGCGAACGCTTCGACTGCACGACCTGCTGCATCGGTCTTGTTTGAGCCCAACCAACCAACCAAAGCTCATTGTGGGCATTGAAATCACCGAGAAGAACTACCTCTGAAGCGGGGTAATTGATGTTCAGGAAGCCGATCTTGACGGCGAGGTATCCAAGTATGTCATCCCAGTTATGATCCGAGGGAGAGCGATAAAGGCAGCAAGTAAATTTGGATGATGTTTTGGAGTTGAGGCGAAGCCACAGAATGTCCTTCCGGTCTGATCTCAAAGAAACATCTCTGGAGCAGGAAAGACTGTTGCGGACAAAAGCCACAATTCCCTCCTTCTTTTTCAGATTGCAGTGAACCTCGTAATTTGGGAAGCTAAGATGGTTAATCGGTGCAGACTCTGAGATTTTTGTCTCCGCCAAGAAAAGCACGGCGGGACGATTTGTTTGCAGGTAGTGATGGACAACATCAATGTTGTTGTTAATCTCGCAGATGTTCATAAAACAAATTTTATCTTCGATGTTGTTTTCTCGAGCCCACCCTACACCCGGATATTCCGAGAGTGGAGTGAGTTTACGTTTGGAAGTGCTCGAGGGATCCATCATCATTAATTTCTTTGTTTTGGAAGATAACCGACTGCATAGGTGTGGCAACATACGGACATTTATAAGACACCCTGGGAAAAGCTAGCGGGTGGTACCGCAACGGACGACTGGTCCTTGCGTGTTAATGATATTAAACAGACCTAAAGTGGCTCGTTGGCGGACTTGTACCGCCACCCGAAAATCGGTACTAAGGTATTCCTTAACGCGTGTACAATCGCTTGAACGGAAAGAAGTTATATACTGGATACAACAACTTCCGGAACAAGGATTTGCCACGGCCCCGCTCAGTAAGGTGGAGTCTTCAGTAATTTATTAATTTGCCTCTGCAACTCATCTATTTGCAGTGACGTCTTTTCAATAAGCTTCGTCTGCGCTGCTATCGTTTCCTGCTGTTTTTTATAGTTCTCCAGCAGCTGATCAAAGCATCCTTGTCGGGTGGACCATCTCGGTCTGGCGGGGCACCATGACTCTCGCCAATATTGGGGCAGCCAGGTGTTGTATCCTGCTGATCCCCAGGATATGACTCCATGTTATTATACGCCTTTTTCCTGGATTTTCGCGAATTAATTCTCAGAGCACAAAATTCTGTCAACTTGACAAATACCGTACACGTGTTCAAGAAGTGGTGAAAACAGTATTGAGGAATTATCGAATCACCATCAGAGAAAAATGATTTTGGCATCCTGTATGGCCCATGCCTTTGAATTTTATCGAGTATTTTTGGCATGAGATACGTCGCTTCTACCGAATCTACTTAATGTTGATTAGAAGAGCTTTCCATGAGCATAAGTCAAAACCTCTTTTTTGCCAAAAGCAACACCACAGTCATGCCTCAGCCACCATATTCACCGGAATTGCAATCCTGTGATTTTTTCTGTTCTTAGAACTGGAGAAAGAATTGCAACGATCGAGGAAGTAAGGCTACATCATTGGAAGATTTTAGGGCTATACCAAAGAGTGCAGAAGTGCTTTGAGGATTAGAAAAAGTGCTCGTACAAGTCCATAATATCTGAGGGGAATGCTTTGAAGGGAACAATATATTTATTTTGTTAAGGAATAAATGAACGTTTTTTGATGAAAATAAAAATTCACCTCATATTTTTTCTACTTTTTTGTTCATAAATGCAAGTTCGCGAATTAGGCTAGAAGTTCATTGACTAGATAATTGACAGTAGATCTCTTAACTTATCACATTTTTACGGAATACCTCCTTAATATAAGGTGACGAGTTAAAATGGTATGAAGCACAAAGTGAGGGGCACGTTTTCATATATTGCGGAAAACTAAGCAAGTCTAAGCAACGAAATATCAAAAACCTCCTATCAATGTCTTTTGATGAGGAAACATACCTTTGATTTGAGGGAATGTCTTCAATAGGTATTCTTTCTTCTCCTTAGTACCTACTGTAACATAGATTGTGACGCCGTAATGAATCGCCATTCTTATTGCAGCCAAGCCAATACCTCCAGTACCAGAGTGAATTAAAATTGAATCTCCTTCCTTCATTTTGCCTTTCTGAAATTCGAGAGGATAGTATTAAAAAACGTTGCAATATTTTTAAGACTGATTGGTTTCGACGCTTGTACTCCCATCGATACCAACTTGTTTGTTCAGAGAAATATCCTGTTCACAAGTAAGGAGGTGAAGGGTAATCGAAAAACAGTGCTAGCATATCTAGGCCGAAAATAGGTCCAAGAAAAAAAATATGAAAAATATAACCACGGATTGACTTCCGGCAAATTTTGTACAAGTACCAACGACAGCGTTGGCAATACAAAGACAATTGCTCGCGATTCAAACCACACCAGCCGCAGAGAAACCGCATTTTCTGTTTCCTGCAGAAGTAAGAGGCATGTTTTCTACGGTACTATAATTTTTGGATCCTCTATTGCACTTTTGAACAAGGCATTTGGTTTTCATAATGTATCAAGCTTTGTGAACTATTTGTAGGTGCAAGTGATTATCTCTCCGCAGGCTATATTCGCTTGTTTGTATTCGTTGTCTGTCTTCAAGAGTCGACCTATACTGTACTGATGATGGCTAACAAGCAAACAACGTTGTATACAATTGGTTGTAGGCGGTCAGAGACGGAAAGTATACATACAGATTCAGTGAACGTGAAGGTATATTTTATTTTAGGATGTAATTTTTGTTCTCGACACATTGTCATTGTTTTGTGAATCACAAGAGCAGTCTTTGCCACGTTTTGACATCTACAACATTCTCACTTCTCAAAATGATTGAAGCCTCATATTCTTCTATGTAAGTTCTATATATGGCAAGCCTGGCTGAAATCCGTGGTGACGTAAGAAAGGTCAATCTCCAAGGTCATACCACAGAATCAAATCTAACACTCCATTGAATGTATCACAATCAACTCAAATACCTTCACTTCCAATCCACACATGCACACAAGAATCGCTGCACTATCCTGCTAGGCATAGATGATCCTGGTTCTGAGTCAAACATCATCAAAAGTTTTTATAAACATGAATACCAAAAAGGTTCTCTTATAGAGATTACATTGTGTTGATGTTATAATTTCAAAATGGTAAAAATATATCTTCTTTTCGGATTAGAATATTGACATAAAATCTTTTACATATACAACTACATGTTCGTTCTATTATTTCTTTGACTACACTAGAGGCGTATAAGTTCAGAAAGCTTTGTCCTACAGAAGGATAAAGAATATTATTTTATGCGTGACTGACTTTTCCGAAATATATATTAAATTTTTGAATAAGGTACTTAATTTTAGATGAATCACCATCCTGAAAAAAATGTTTACTCCCTTTTGAGAAAAAACTGGTTTGAGTATATGATATAATGTACTTATGAAAAACTTCAACCCTACGTATATACACTGAAGTTCGTGAATTTTGGGATGTGGTTTCTGCGCTACCAATATTTCCATTGTTGTTTATCGCCCAGTACACAAATTGTAGCAAAAAATAGGTGGGTATCACTTACATACAATAAACCGTAGGCGAGCGTACCGTATACGGTTGGAACCTGTAGCTGCTTCTTCTAAACTCATGTAATCAGGAACCTTCCATATCAAGTATGCGTCCGATGAAATCATAGTACTAATAGCGCCAGATACCGCTAATCCCATGACTCGGTTTCCTCTGAAATTATGAAAAATTCTAAATAAAAGAAAGTTTAACAAGGGACAGTATCCACTAACATCATTATTAAAAATTAAACATAACTTTTTGAAACTAACAAACTATACCTATAGTCTATTCCAGAGTACTCAAGACCTAAAACATTTTCTTGATCCACTCTGCTTTTTACAATGTCGACATTAAGTTTTCCCGTAGCCAGCATTACATCTTTGAAGTTCAAAGCCGAGTAGTATACCTGAAATTTTAATAAACATAAGTCACGTACCACTCAGGACAGCAACCACTGACTAACAGAAGTACCTATGTTACTATCTAGATCATCTACTACAATGATACGAAAGTTGCTAATTTTATGCATTTCCATTAACATACATTCGTCTTTAAAGAAAGCATAGATATTTACTGTTTTACTCTTTAACTTACATAAACCAAATTCTTTTCCAAAGGTAGTGGCATATCACTTGTCAAAGATCCTTCTGTCCATCTGAAGCTAGTCAAGTCTCCTCTAACCATTACGTTGGCCACGCAATGTTCTGCTTCAACGAATCTTTCCCGCTTTATTAGCATATGCCTGTATGTGCCCCACCTACCACCTTTCTTCACATTTATGGCCAAGCTTTTATTAAGCTGTCTTTGCAGGTCAACATCGTTTATATCAAAATGATCCGATTCATCCATAAGGAATACACAGCGAACATTTCTGGTTTCTGGCTCCCTCCTTAAGCAATTTACCAAACCTAATCAAATCAGAGTTACTGTTGTGATATTGAAAATTTAGTGACTTAGATTAAAGTATTTGGTCAAATTGTCGGATGAACATAGACACACACCTAAAATACCACTAGTGGAATCTTTTTCCGAATATAATACTATATCTTCCATGTTCCTGGATTTGTGGAGCTCCTGTAGTTGTGTTATCCATGAGAAAGATTCATCTTGGCTCGGTATTTCCATAACATTTACTGGTTTTTGGGGTAGCTTTCGTCTAAAATAGAAAAAAACACATTAGCAAGAGAAAAAATAGGAATACGTTTAAGCTCTATTGAGGATCGCTTTCATCTACACTATCTTTGAAAAAATCATATTTTAATCCATGTAACATTTCTAAGGAAGACTTCAAAAATGTTTCGAGCAATGGACAAGTATATTAGTTGTAGTGGACAGTATTTTGAAGGAGACAAGGTTACCTTGTGAAAAAGTTGAAAATTAATAGCTTTTAAAAAATAATTTCGGTTTTTTTGGGTACCTCCTCGTACTACATATTTACCTCCAGGAAAAGAGATTAACGAATCAAAGAAGATAAAAAGTAGAGCTTTAAGAACCACTCTATTCAATTGAGGGATGGAAGGCAGAGATCATGTTAAGCTTCCTTATTTTTTCTGCATAAAATTGCAGGGAGGTCAACATATCAAGAGAATAATTCCATATAATGAAGTGTTCTAAGATAATATGGAAGCAAAAAATGTATGTTATCTTACCTATATAGTACTAGTAGTTCATCCTTGGTCCTATGGATAGTGCAAATATCTAGGTTTTCGAATGGCTCCTTCGACACGTCGTAGTTTAGTTCTTCCCTGTTGATTATGAAACCGTTTTCTTTTAGAGATATATAAATATCTAGCAATAGCTGAAATTAGAAACAACAGCTTATTAATATTGGTTTTTTCATTCAGTAGATTTTTCAACATGTTAGATTAAGCCAAAAAGTATAATGTCCGATACTAACAAACAAAAACTCTCAATTCCCAATGCCTATTCGTTTGCTTTCAATAAAAATCTTAATTTTAAATGGTACAGTAGATAGGTAGACTTTTTTCAAACTCAGAAGAAGTCAGCGTGAAATACCAAAACCTATATAAGCACCTTACCTCTGGTCTCTGTGAAAGCTTCGAAGTCACAATTAGCGTACAATCAGTTTCGATGCTCAGCACCTTGTCTACAACAGGGACATTTACTTCTTCTATGGGAGTTTTGCTCAGTATAGTGACATTTGGTTGGATCATGGGTTGATCCTCCAATACAGTAAGCACAATAGGAGACAACGGCTTATTGCTTGTAGGCGTAAATTTATCGACTATTTCAACACTTTTTACTTTAGTTATCAAGCAGTTCTCTAGGATTATCTGAATATTCACCCTTACGGACTCCTCTATTGTGAGAAGTGCTTCATTTGGGACGAATATGTATTTCTCTAGAACCGGTACTCTCATATCCCTCTTCCTTGTAATTGAACTAGACATTAGTCCTTGAATTTTGATATGTCCACAACTGAAATCAAGACAAAACGTTTATTCAACATAATAATACACCTGTATTACATGAAGATGATAGCGTTAGACATATTCGAGTCTTATAGATAAAACGTCATGGATTCTCAACAGCAACATAATTTGTTAGGTTTACACCGCTATCTATTCGTATCGAGCAGCGTATATGGATACTATTTAACATAAGTACCTTATAGTATTGCTATAATCATTGTAATAAACGGGCAAGTCATTTTCCAGTTTGTGACTGCCATAATTCTGTGAAATCCATGAAATATGTGCCTTAGCAGGCAATCTAACTTCCTGGATGTACGTTGGGACATACAGCAATCGTGTGTCAGTTGCCAAAATTTTCATCTGGAGCATGTTATCCATAAATGTGACCCAATTATCATTCCATCTGATGTGTCCTCTGTTGTTTTTTAAGTCATAGTCCTGTATGTGCCGGAAGCTGCCTCTGTAGCAAACATGAGTGTAATTATATTACCAGTTCCTTATAGTCTACGAGAATCAACTGTATGACTGGATTTCATCGACCACTTATAATATTTCTGAAAAACTACATTTCTAGACGCTATTTGTATTTTTGTTCTGATGTCCTTTTTGATTTTCATGCTTTATTGGTCGTTTAATGAAAACACATATACAGAAGGAAACATTCACTGATATTTTCTTCTGTTTTTGTCTGTTTTTAACTATGTTTGACGGTTAGTATCAATATAAGTGTTTCAATAATCGCTAGAACAACATGTTATCGTTCAAATGACACCAAATTTATCATTCTGTGTCTCTTATGTTCTCAGTTATTACAATTTTTATACACGCACTAGCGTAATCGTAACGTAAAAATAAAAATGGCTGCCATTTCAAGGGGGGTGAGGGGGTGAGGTAGGACATTGTAGGGGGGTGGATTTGTCGATAAAAACAGCTGAAAAATACCCCCCTTAAATATCGGCATGTCGTGACCAAACACATTGTATATCATGCCTTAATTGAGCCGCAACTAAGGTATGGATATTAGCATGGGTACAGTATACTTGAACGACATAAAAGTTTTACAGAGAACTGTTTAAAATTTATATTCTGAAAACCAAAGTTATATTCCATAAATGAGTTATATAACAAAACAAAATTATTCGATATCAAGCTATCTTTATTTTATACATACTATCAGCCATTATCACAAAGCTGTCAGTGAGCGCGATAAAATCACACATTGACATGGTAGACGATATAAATCACGAGCAAAAACTGTCCCTAAACCTCATAAAACCATGATGAAACGATCTTTTCTCTACTTGGCTCCAAAATTATATGAACTTGAATGAATGAATGAATGAATTTCGAATTACATATAATTTGAGAATGGATACGCGCAATAGGAAGACAACACATTACTGAATCCCTATCAGATATTCTTTAAAAATTATGATCCTCTACATATACACCTCTTTGATATAAGTTTTTCTTTAAGTTTTTTTTTAATTTTTTGTTTTGATTTTGGAACACATTCCAACATACGACTGATCCATGTACATGCATTGTCCTTCTATGGACTGAAACATTTACTTACCCATTCTATTTTGTTATTGTTCTTATATTAAGGAGTAAATAAATGTCTACTACTACTAAAATAGATATTTTTGGTTTCTCCAATTTGGCAACAAGAATTGCTCTGAGTAATAATAACACTATATCATTCTAATAGATACATGCTGGAACTAGTTATCGAGAAAGATCGAAGGGTTTTAAGATGTCATTTTATACTTCTTTCGTAAAGGTAAATTATACTTCTAATTGAAAAATTATAGAAATAGATGTTAAGGAACTAAGTCCTCTTCAGTAATATAACTAAATCGATCTCTTTCCAAGATACTTCTAATGAATAAAAATATCTACCTTAAAGGTACTCACGTGTAGTTGTATCCCCGCAGTTTAAGTTCCTTGTAAACATCATGCAGTTTCATAACGTTTTGAACACGAAAATCGGTATGGTCAATCGGTGGTTCTTCTTTATTTTGCAGCAATATCCTGCCCGTAACAACAGCAACATTACTCTCCATCACCTGTGTAATGTATTTTTATTCTCTTATTTCACATGTGCAATTAAAAAAAACATTAACTGGGCTTCACATAATCTGTTCATATCGTCCAAATCGTAGAAAATATACTCGTATGAAACATAAACCGAATATAAATTGTACTGTATCATTTTATCGGTAATTTATGTGACGTTTCATTACGTGAAATTGTTTCCATTAAAGAAATTAAGAAGGAACATCTTTAAAAAAATCAAACTGGCGTACTTGTGATAATTCCTTTGTAAGTATGTACGATCTGGTACTTTTTACGTACCTCAAATTGTCCTGATTCGTAGATAGTTATGAAAAAAGATAGCTCGCCTTTAGATGGAATCGATGTTGCTCTATGAAATCGGCAATCCTGGAAGATGACGTCCATCATAAATACTTCGGCATTGTTCATTAAAGCTAGCGTTTGCCAAGCCAGGTAAAGATACCCTGTAGCTGGGAACAAGTTCCTACCTAAAAGTTATTTGTTATACGATAAGACTACTGCCTCGAGGAAATTTTAAATATGAGAAAATCATTTTTAGTCCAGGCCGTATCTCTGCTCGGAGAAATATTCTGATTCGGTTTGCTTCATCTTATTAAAAAGACTTCTTTCAACAATATTTGTGTTTAATTGTTCATTTATTTTCCTGACAAAGTTGTTTTGGGTCATTCTGAAAAAGTTTTCTTATTAACTTTTTCAAGATATTAGAGATTTAATATTTGGTAATTCCCGAAATATACCACAAACAAAAGTTTCAAAGTTGCCAGAGGTCCTAAATATACTTCAAATATCCAGCAAGATACCAAAACATTTTAGGTGGTATTATTATTGTAAGCATTTGTTTGTCATGTGTTAGTCAATCGCGCTCAGTGCCGACTTTGATTTAATGCACTATTGGGGCGGCCTCTAGCTGCATCTCTTTTTTCAGAAAGAACCTTAAAAAATGTCGTACGCAGCCAAACAATCATTTTTGGAATTCACATTAGAGCATTGCTTAAGCAAGTGTTGATACAATTTTAGGCCTGACAACACGCTAATCTCTTAAAAGGGGTTCTTTTTTAATACGATGATGAAAAAAACTGATACTCTCCGGGCAAATGCAAACATACTCCCTGAACTATTTAACGACACGTGAGCATAAATGTAAATTGAGTTAGTCAGACCGAGTTAAGCTTGTTCAAAGGAACATCGAAACTCGTTAGTCTACTGTTATAGACCTTACCATCTATCACGTGGCCGGTGATGTAAGACCATTCCAAATCATGAATTCCAATTTTGACGTTCCTTATACCCCTTATTGCAGAGTCGGTAGTATTGTAATGCGTTTGCACGTAGTAAATTCTATCGTGCTTCCATCTTATGTATGGCGAAATCATTCTGGTATTCCTAGAGACTGGATACTCAACACATGGATACAATTTATCTAATTTCGCATTATGTCCGGCAATATAAATGCTGGAATGAAAACAATGACAATATAAACCAACTTTCTTACGGACAATAGGTACGAGGTCTGTTAAAATAATAGCTGAACTTTTTGAAGAATAGTAGCATCGTTTGGATGGCAACGTTGTGTCTGTCATAATTTTCCGCGTAAACTGCTTTTTAAGGATTGTTGCCATCCCACTTCTTTCCCGTGTTATTGTGTTTTGAGTGCAAGGTGTTTCAGCGTACGCGGCGATTTTTACAAAACTGTTGCCGAAAGACTTCTGGGAGAAGTCTACTGACGTGATGCTGTAAATAGTACACAGTTTTACGAATGGTTTTTCCGGCTTAAAAGTGGTCGCTATCATTTGAAGATATTCTTCTGCTAGGAAGACCTTCGACACTAATGACACTCACATTCGGAACATCTTTGATCTGGTGCGTACAAATAAGAGAACTTTCAGAAGAGAGAGAAATTGAAGCAAAATTTGTTTCTTGTTTGATGGCAGAAAATAGTTTAGAAGGGAGGTGAACTCCTTCAACAAGGCAACGATGACAACACACTCATGAAGAGAAAATATAAAGGAAGAGAGAAAAACGCTTGTGATATAAAACTCTTTCTATGCATATTATACGTATAACTATCTTAGGTAACGTACAAAGAAAATTGCTCAAATGTTGGACTTATAAAATTGATAACGTATATCAAGAAAGGGGTGGTCAGTAAATTTATTCTGCTGCGACGTCTCTACAGTTAAGACGTTCCATTCCTGGCCTGACATTCTTTCATAAGCTTTTGAACGATGAAGGATGAATTTTTGTATAAATCGTTTAAATTTGGTAAGGACTTTAACTTTCATCTGCAGTACAAACGTATTATGTTATACACCGCTATACGAGTATTCTATTTGTATGTAAAGTTTTGACAAACTACAGGGACTATTACAATAACCATTTCTTCTGTTCGTTTTTTTGTGGTTATTGCATGCACATTGTCAACTAGGTTACCATCACATTGTCCTGTAATTGGATGAGTCTATTGAGCAATCCTGTATAAATCACCAGCTCTAGCTCCTTGTGAGTTCATTTAGGTATATCTTAAATTGAAATCAGGGCTGAAAGAACGAATTTTGAGGACAGTAAAACAAATGTGCCACATAATATATTGAAGGACATTCCAAATAAGCTTCGCAGAACTGTGATGATAAGTAGAAACAGATTTGAGAAAGGTGTGGTAATTGGTGGGGACAGCTGCTACTAACGTGTAAATTAAAAAATAAAAATTATTTAAATGAGGTTTGGTTATTTTCGGAAAATACCTCATGCATTAAGGTGTTTTGTCTAAGAACACTTAAAAAAATGTGCTAACTTACTTTCCTAAAAGTTTCAGAAAATCATTCAGCACATTCTGACTAGTAGGCGGATTATAAGTATATAGTGTCACGTCGTCTGGTATGCAATATGAAGGTACCCTTCCGAATGTTATCAGTACGTCATCTGGATGTATATCTGGTGTGTGTGAAACTGAATTTGTTATACTTTCTATCAGCTTATCCACAACTGAATTTTTCGATGAAATTATAGCTGCTAATTCTTCGGCTAATTTACTCCCTGCAAGAAGATTTTATTAGAGTCATACACACAGATAGGCAAAAAATATTCTCACAACTTAAATGTGATTGTTAAACAATGTCCTTGAAAATATGTTTTCAAAAATGTCCCCACCGCCCTTCCTTTTTTAGAACGAATCAAACTGTCAGGCTGATTGTCGGGGTCATGAAACCGATGCGTGAATACCATACGAGTATTTACCATGGTGGCGATGTTTGAAGGATTTTTTTTAATGGAATCGAGGGTCAATTAATACCTCATTGCAGGCTGTCAAAGTTAAGCATTGTCAGTATGGCGGTTTGATGATTAGTTGCTAAGTCATCCACTGCCTCCATTATAGAAGATACACAATATATTCTGTGATGTAATAAGGCACCTACTGATAAGGAGCTACAAATTGAAGTACCTATCAGATGATTCCCTATTTTATTCAAATAAGATTATCCAAGATGGTGAATAGCCACCATCTTGAAATGTTCAGTTGTCACTTAAATAGAATGTTAAAATATAGTATTCATACATCAATTCAGTCTTCTCGAATTTTAGCTATCCAAAAGATAAGTTGAGAGATCTTTTGAAAAGCGCTGCATACGTACTTTGTATCCTGTTGTTTTTCAAAGCAGCAGCTAGACCTTCAGCGTCAGATTCATAGTAACTGTCGCTGTTGGCAACACCGTTTCCGTTTGTCATGTGTGGTTCCCCATAGCCATTACTTTTTTTATCACAGCTATTGAGAATATTGCTTAGAGAAACTGCACAATCCAGTGTTTGCTCCTTGTTAAGCTTTCCTTCAGCGTATAGTGATACCAATTGGGCATAAGAATAGCCATAGTACTTATTTGGTTTGAATTCTATAGCATTAAGTAGATCAATGATACCAATTTGCAGTGCGACGTTGCCGATGATTTGGTACTGGTGGGCCTTCGAAGTATTATTGAAATCGCTTAGGTTGATCTGCTTGGATAGATAATTCTGAGATCTGGAACAACAGACTTGACATCAGCGGCTGGAGTTGAAGGAAAGCAAAGATATTTCTAAAAATGTATCTACAAGACTAATATTGGATCTGTGATTCGGTCAATGCCATCTGAGGGAAACCCGGTAGAGAAATGCGTGGCACCCTGGCCGGCGGCGGCAAACTTGAGTATGCTATCTCGAGCCCTCGTCAATGTCAAGGATTTGAGGAAAAAGAAATATAGCCAGTCAATGACCAGAGCTCAGCGAAAGGTGTAATCTGTGCTTATAAAACAGTCTCTACAGATGACGTGCTGGAAGAAGAAAGATGTATGCTCTATAAGAAGGGCGCCACAGCTAAAGCCGATGAAATGGAGGAGCCTATTGTTAGATGGTAGTGGAGGTAGGATGCAATTGGTTATGGTGGGTAGACTAAAAGAATAATCCTTGATGTTGAAACCTGGACTGACAAGGGAGGAGTGCGGATAGACTACTATATAGCGCAGTTCCTGACAGGACGTTGTCGTTTTAACAGCAGCTGCGTTGACTATCAGAGACAACTGGAATTGACTCTCGCCTCACTGCTCACTGCTAATAATTTTGTCAAGTGTGTAAATAAGGGCAACAATAATGAGATGGATGATGGTAATCAAAATGATAATGATAAAAACTGGTCACCGAATCAACAATACCAATAATAATCCTACATTTATTTCACTGTTAAATAGCCACAGACAAAAAGCAACAACGTGTGATGGTAAAAGTCGTACATTTGAAACAAAACTATACGATACAGATAAAAGACCAGCCCTAAATGCAAAGAACTCTTCCAGGCTATTCAAACACTTATCTGCTGGAAATAATTTCAATTGATCTTTGGAACTACTTAATGTTATGGCTTTTTGGATATTTTATTTTAAAAATTATAGAAAATTGTACAACCTAAAGGATTTTTGTATGTAGCAGAATGATGCTGAGGGGGGGTATCAGGGGTAAATGGTAAATATTGTAACGAGTTTGATAATTGTGCTCCTCTTTATTATTGAAGAGTTTTAATTTAGATATTGTATACACAATACTTGACAGCTCATAAATGTATTTAACCTAGGAATAACTAGTTTATCATAAAATCGGGTTTTTCTGGTAACATAATGTAGGAATGAATATGTCCATTAATGATAAATACTTCGAGCAACGTTACGAACCATGATAAAATGGTGCAAGAATTACCGTGGTGGAATGTGTAGTAAACGGCTTGAGGGATTTAGTGTTTATTAAAAGCTAAGATATGCTATGTTGTTTTGAGCAAGATAAAAATGACTTACCTTTGAATAGAGTCGGCAAATGGCAGCAGTTGCATCAACTTAATGGTTATATCGTACCAGTTGGTGAGTTCGCTGAAATAAATGTGTAATGGGGAATACTTTTTTATGCATGCTAGTTGCCTATGCACTTCTCCAGATTTTGATGCGATGGAGTACCCTCTATACAAGTGCCCAGGTATATCCTTCCTGAAAAATGTACAAAAAAAGAAAAAATACAACCAGTTAAAGATGCAAACTGGATTATCACTCTGGCCATAACCGGAAGGCCAAATTATTATGTTTGAAGTGATTGAAGTAAAGTCATGTTGTGTGTGTTGTACTGTTTAGTAATTTCTGTAGTTATCGCTGCGTTAACTTGCTAACTTGCTTAGTAAAATCACTAAAAACATGCGACATACTGACTTTTAGAATTAGTTTTAGCTACAACTACCTGAATATGTCATGAAGAAGCCTAACGTGCTCTACGTCCAATGTATGGTTCCTGAAAGGCTGCAGAAGCTCAGTCACACCGTCTGCAGTCCTGCTACTGACACACACCAGTCTAGGGACATTGTCGCCTGATATTTTACCATTGCCTTTGGCTTTTGGGTTCCGTTTAAGCAGTATATGACAATTAGAACCTCCAAATCCAAAACTACTAAGACCTGTAGATTTAGATAAAAGAAAACGACTCATGTTTTGCCATACAGTACCTTTAGTTTAGTGGAAAAATGACATCAAATAGGTTGACCCTGCATCTCCCACGCAATGTTGTCATGGTTTTCATTATGTTTTGGTTCATTTCTAATCTTCATGAAGTATGAAAAGTAGATCAAAGCCATTGCTTGTGTGATATAGAGTCGGCCTACTCGACATTTGTTTTAAAGACGGAATGAAAACTACATAAAATTGGAAATAACAAGTAGTAAGAAGTGCGTTTTTTGTTTGTACAATAAACCATGTCACTCATTTCCGTTAGTCTGCCTGCCTGTCTGTCTGTCAGTCTGCCTGTCTGCTGATCTTTGGACCGCCCTTTGGAAGGTACTGCTCGATTTTTGTTGAAATTTTCACGCAAGGTTACTACTATGCCAAAGACGAAATGGCTTTGTAGATTTTGAAAATCGGTCCAGTGGCGGCGAAGCTAGGGGCAAAAGCACGTTGAAAATAAAAATTGCACAAACTTCGTTTTTTGACGTTTCAGAGGCTCCAGATCATTTTTAGAAAAACCTTTGCAGTGGTTAAAAATCTGTTAGGAACTGTAGGGGTTGTGGAGAGTATATGTCAACATTTTGGTGCGAACAATTTATACGTTCTCAGCCAAAGTAGTTCTACGCACCTACTAGACACATCGGTTGGGGTTTTCCCGTACTTTTGCCTCTAAAAGTTGAATTACAAAGATATAATCTTCAATGTACGCGTGCCGGACAATTCAACGGACACGCGCCTCTCTGTTTTGGATGGTTGTACTGATTGTATGATTCACTTCATTCCTTTGCTATACAGGGTGACTTTCAAGAGTCATTAATTTTCAGGTAATGATTGTAGAAGGAGGATAAACCAAAATATGTGTGTAAAAATAAAAAAAATTAAAAAATTTTTTTTACCTTGTTTTATAAAGTATCCTCCCGACAAGTATTTCAGTGCGGACCTGTATTTGATCGTGAGGTCTTGGAGCACCGGCATGCAGTCCCCTGTGAGGTTTTAAGTCACCTGATTCACGAGCCCGTTGTACTACATTAACAAAGGCACGAGGGGTTGGTTGCACTCGATTGGGAAACCGATCCGCATAAATATGTACCACTATTCACTCACGCGTTACCGACGACTGACACAGACTGAATAAAAACATCGTGATCAGCGTTTCAAATTCTTTCGCTTTTTTGTTTCCGATGCGATGAACCGATAAGGCGGAGTATACCCGTTGTCGCCAAACACGAGCACATAATATTATTATTGAGACAGGGCGGTACTCAAACTTCTAAAGGGCTATAACTTTGTTACTTTAATTTTACCACAAAAATATTAAAGGAAAAAAACATTTCTTTTGATCAGATCTACTCACTGTTAAAATAAATGACTCAACTTCGAAGTCACCCTGTATATATAGGGTGACTTTGAAGTTGAGTCATTAATTTTCAGATAATGATTGTAGAAGGAAGATAAGCCAAAATATGTGTGTAAGAATAAAAAAAATTAAAAAAAATTTTTTACCTTGTTTTATAAAGTATCCTCCCGACAAGTATTTCAGTGCGGACCTGTATTTGATCGTGAGGTCCCCTGTGAGGTCTTAAGTCACCTGATTCACGAGCCCGTTGTACTACATTAACAAAGGCACGAGGGGTTGGTTGCACTCGATTGGGAAACCGATCCGCATAAACATGTGCCATTTTTTATTTCGTTTGAGCCACGCAACAGACACTATTCACACGCGTTACCGACTAACACTGACTGTATGTATAACTGAACTGAATAAAATAATTGTAAAAACATCGTTCCAAATTCTTTCGCTTTTTTGTTTCCGATGCGATGAACCGATAAGGCGGATTATTTCCGTTGTTGCCAAACACGAGCACATGATATTATTATTGAGACAGGGCGGTACTCAAACTTCCAAAGGGCTATAACTTTGTTACTTTAATTTTACCAGAAAAATGCTAAAGGAAAAAAACATTCCTTTTGATCAGATCTACTCACTGTTAAAATAAATGACTCAACTTCGAAGTCACCCTGTATATATATATATATATATATATATATATATATATATATATAATATATAAATGTTTTTTCCTTTACCATTTTTCTGGTAAAATTAAAGTAACAAAGTTATAGCCCTTTGGAAGTTTGAGTACCGCCCTGTCTCAATAATAATATTATGTGTTCGTGTTTGGCGACAACGGATATAATCCGCCGTATCGGTTCATCGCGTCGGAAACAAAAAAGCGAAAGAATTTGGAACGATGTTTTTACAATTATTTTATTCATTTGTATACAGTCAGTGTCAGTGAATAGTGTGTTGCGTGGCTCAAACGAAATAAAAAATGGCACATGTTTATGCGGATCGGTTTCCCAATCGAGTGCAACCAACCCCTCGTGCCTTTGTTATTGTAGTACAACGGGCTCGAGAATCAGGTGACTTAAGACCTCACAGGGGACCTCACGATCAAATACAGGTCCGCACTGAAATACTTCTCGGGAGGATACTTTATAAAACAAGGTAAAAATTTTTTTTAATTTTTTTTTTATTTTTACACACATATTTTGGTTTATCTTCCTTCTACAATCATTATCTGAAAATTAATGACTCAACTTCAAAGTCACCCTGTATATATATATATTGTAATGATGTTTTTTCCGGTGTCGTTAATTGAGTACTTTATGACCGCCCCTCGTATTATCGTTTTCTCGAACACGTTAAATTATAGATTAATCATTAATTACAGTTCTGATATTCTAAAATTGGGATAGTGCGCTGTTCTATATATTATTTTGTCTCCTATAAAGAGTCTTGAATCCTCAAGCAAATTTGATGTTTTTATGACATACCACAGTGGTTTTTGTTGCCATGTGTTACACACAGAAGTGGACAGAAATTGATATTTTTCGTTTTCCGTCTTAGAAATTATTATAATGAATGAAACGATTTAAATCAATTTTTAAGCCTTGTGGTAGCACTAGACGATATTCAGGACGTCAGTAATGCGTTATGAGGCAGGACTAATAAGTTCAGGGATTTGCAGGGGAAAAACGACACGCCAAAGTGGCGTATTGAGGCACAGGCTGAAATAGGCATGTAGTGCCCTTATAACGAATGAGAAGTTTTTCTTCCACATTCAGATGCCTTGGGGGACTTGTCACACAACCCTCTTGGAGTTGTGGGCCCTGTAACAGTGGGCAAAAAGGCACTAAGGTCCCTTTTGGTTGTAGTCCAGGTTTAAATGCACCTTAGAGTGGTCATCGTGCGGAAATTGCAACCTGCACGAAGCTGACGCACTGCCGAACATTCTGGGAGGCGCTAGAACTGGCTATAGGCCCTTTTGCGACTTGAAACCCTGCAGGGTCTGATCTAGCCATTTGGAATGAGATGCCCTAGTGGTGTGGGCACCCATTTTATAGGATACGTCATAAGAAATCGAATAGAAATACTTTTGATTCGATCAAATGCACCACGTTGGCGTCACGACGTCAAGAAGACTCGCAGTGGCGGACGGCATGACGTAGCGACCAAGGTTGGTTCTAGAACATTGGCGAGCACTATAAAAGCCGTGTCTCTCAACGTCGAAGATAGGAATGCAAGGCAGCTCCAAGAACACGTCGATGCCCTGGCGGGGGTCATCGTCGGTCCGGAGCAACCAACCTACATTCCATTCGGCCTTGGGCGACCTGCGGTACTAGACATAGCTATCCTCCGCAACATCAGAGAGGAGTTCGAAATAGAGACCCTGGTGGAAGGATCGTCGGACCACAACCCGATCCTACTAACACTTGGCACAGGGGCTACAACTCGAGATAGCTTGACCACCAAACGGACGAACTGGAACCACTACAAATCCAACGTCCAAAGGAATATCACCCGAATTCCAGCCATCCGATCAGCGGAGGAACTGGACAACGCAGTAGAGGATCTGGAGAATGCTGTCCTGCGAGCGCACGAGGACAGCACCCACTTCGAGACTACGGCAGTTCCTAGACACCTAAATGGTCCAGCACTGCACCGTATTAGGCACCGGATCAGGGAGAACAGAAGACTCAAGCGAGAACATCTCCAGCTGTTGACAGAGGAGTCGAAAGTTGCGCGAATCAGGGCATCGCTAGCTCTGAAGAACGCACTCGCGGAACTCCAAAACAGCAGATGGAATGCAGCCTGTGCGGAACTAGAGATCGAGGATCGTACGGCCTGGACTATGCAACGAAAATTTCGTCGTCAGCGCACCACGATCCCCACTCTTCACGGCCAACGCGGCTTGGCCTATTCCAGTGAAGAAAAAGCCGAAGCATTCGCCGATTCGCTAGAATCCGAATGCAGACTCAATTACCATGAAGACGAGGACGATAACCACGAGGAGGTCGTGGAAGTCGCAGCCGAAATCCTGAGGAGACGACCACCTGGCCAGGAGACGGATCACCCCTCCAGTCCAGAGGAAATCAGCCTGATCATTCGCAGGTTGAAAGTCAGAAACACGCCGGAAAGGGACGGCATCAACAATAGGATGCTGAAGGACCTTCCCTCCAAAGGCATTGCTGCGCTCACCAATGCCACTCTGAGGCTTAACCACTTCGATCGATGCAAACCTGTGCCAACTGATCCAGAGCTATCTAACGCAAAGATGGTTTACGGTGAAGGTACATGCTACTCAACAAGACGCCGACAGCTGGAAGCAGGCGTGCCCCAGGGGTCAGCCTTAGCCCCCCTGCTCTACAACATCTATACTCACGACGTACCGAAGACAGCTAACACAATGCTGGCCCTATATGCAGACGACACTGCTATAGCCGCCAAAAATCGACAACCCGAGATCAGCTGTAGGGGACTACAGGATGAACTGGACCACATCCAGGACTGGTGCGTGAAATGGAAAATCCGCATCAATGTCCAGAAGATGCAGGCAATCTTCATCGAACGAAGAAGGATTGCAAGACCTCTCGAAGCATCCATCTTCGACGAAGATATCCAGTGGAGCGACAAAGTCAAATATCTGGGGATCGTATTCGACAAGTCCCTCACCTAGAAAGATCACATGGAAGCTGTCATCGCAAAGCGACTTGCTGCTCTAGAGATGAAGCTACTCCGGATCGCCACCAGTGCACTATCCCACGTAAGAAACTCAACCATGCGTAGAGACCTGCATTGGGACACCATTCACGAGTACATGAGGAAAAAAGCGGAGAAGACCTTCCACAAAGCTCAGGACCACCCGAACGAGCAGCTACGACTCCTCATGGACTACGATGCGGACGAGAGGCCTCGCAACCACAGAGCCAAGTACCCTAGACCCAAGTCACAGTTGGCAGGCGCTAAGTGGAACCTTGACTAGGAGAACTCGCGGTTGCTCCCCCCCACGGCGTGGAAGCATCGGACCAGGACCAGAACCCATCTGGACCAGGGCCCACCAGGACCAGGAACCACCAGGGCCAGGACCCATCAGGACCAGGACCAACCAAGACCAGGACCCATCAGGACCAGGTAACAAACAAGTAGTAGAGGACTTGAAACTCTTGATTTTTCGAAAACAGAGTTTCAAGAGAACATAGCTCGCTTAACGACATCGATAGAACTGTGCGAGGTAAAGGGAACCAACCCGGCGTTCTCAGAGACTAAAACACATGAGGAGACGTTGTACCAGACCGCAGGTCGCGCACAACACATGGCCTACCGAGACGCTGATGAGTTGGGCCACGCGGAGGTTAGGGTTTAGTGGGTATTAGGTGGTCTCATCAAGACAACCTGGAGTCCCACACACGCGGTAGCTCGGGCTATGGTATGGTGCATAAACGCATTCCCTCCTCACTCCGTGTCTCTTTCTTTTCCGTTCTTCTCTCCTGGTAGCCAACATTAGTACCGACGTACCCGCTTGTACAAAGTGGTAAGGGGGTGAGTTAAAAGGGTGTTCCGTTTAAACCAGTGCGTTCCGTTTTAGTGATATAGTTGTAATTCTGATAACCGTAAGTGAAGTATTTTTCAGGTTCTGGATTCATTTATTGTTGTTGAAAATTTGCTTACCGTATAGAGCCTAATCCAGAATCCGGGTGATTTCATTTTTCTCTGATTGACACGCTCTTTAGTCATAGAAATTGTAGTGTACCGTTTTCCGTGTATATCTTTGACATTCGAATTTTGAGAAGAGAGTCGTTTGCTGTCTGTTTATTTTTGAATATTGACCGAACTAGTTTGCTAAAAAAAATAACTATGAGTTAGACTTTGAGAAAATTTAGAACAAAACCGTTTATGAATGGGTTTACCAGCCTTAGCGTAATTTACATTTGGGCCTTAGTGAATTGTTGTGAATTCAAGTTGAATGATAGACATTTAAAACGGGAACGGCGTAAATGAGATATTTATTATTAAATCTTGATATCTGCGTATGAACTTGGTCTAAGCCTACGTTGGCCCTAGTGGACTTCTCTGGTGGCAAATAAGAGCCGACCGGTGAAACAAATCTAACTGAATGCCGAACCGTACCGTCCCGTTTTGACTATAGCTCTTACTTTGGGCACCTTGAGAGTTGACTTGTGTCAAGTGGGTAGACTCTGCGCACCAGTGTTGGTTAATTGCGGTACTCTGGGACCTCCATAAGCGCTATTATTGAAGATTATTTGCACATATTTATACATCCGACTGGTAATTCGACATACCGCATCTACCAGGCAGTATTCTCAATTTCTCTGAGTTCGACCCCCTCCCTCGCAAGTTAGACACCGAGATTTCGGAAGTGACTGGCGAGGCAGGTCTTACTCGGTTGTAATTGCGAAAGCCGGAGAGATCAGGATATTCCCGATTGAGCTAGGTATCCCCGGACTCCCACCTAAGTTAAACACCGAGTTTTTCGGAAGTGACTAGTGGAACCTTGGTACACCTGGCGACTGTCTGGAATATGTACTGACTTAACCCTAATGTCAATCGCGCAGTGAAATTCTTTTTTAGGAAACTGAAAGCCGAAAGCAAAAGGTGTTTTTATTTTTGGTTGGCCTTGCAAATTATATATAATATATTTTTACCAATATCTGATTCTGATCATTATATCCCAGTAAAGCCCCAGATATACAGAAGTGTTTTATAGGTTGAGTCTTTGTGTCACAAAATGTTGCGCCTCCGATATTATTTTTTTTAAAGGTTTGGTAAACACATTCATGAGGAAGCTATTAGCTTAGTTTAGTAAAGGTCCATTAGCGATAGTACGCGGCTTGATTTTAGGAGTTTTATAATTGCTTTGGGGTTCAAGAAGCAAGTTAGGGAGGCACATCTTTGTCTGCAGTGTGCTTACTTCCCTGGGGTGCAGATTGAAATCCAGGCGAGAACGAGACAAACAGAGCTTGAAGTAGACGCGGGTTAACTAAAAGCCTGGTCTTATTCTTCACCCAAACATATCCATATTGCTGAAAACCGTTCATCGCTTTGGGCTTATCGCATCGCACCATTACCGCTTGCTAGCTTGACCGCATACTGCTTCCGCTGTAACCGTTGCTTTTTAACCACTTTTGATTCCGTTCGACCCAGAGATAACCGATTGTCCTCCTTCTCCGCTCTATCGCTAGGGTAGCTAGATTCAGATAGGGATTTCTCTTATTTGTGCATATAACTTAAGATATCCCGATCGTGCATTAAGTGTATATACTTTTGCTGTTAATATACTAGGTTGAGTTATAAGTCTTGCTTTTAATCACAAATACCCTCCTGCATGAAGCAAGAGATACAAAAAGAGAAGTAGTAGAAGTATAAAGTAAAGAGTAAGTATCTCGAGTCTGAACCCTTTGAGCGTGACGCATCAAATCCCTTGAATTATTTTCTTCACTGAAGCTACCGAGGTGACTGTTTCAGTCTATAGTGTTGTCTCCACACTCTAAACAGGAGGCTGGCGCCCGAGGAGTTGCTGAACTAGAGGGGCAGGTAGTTCGCCACTTAGTGACACCGTGAAAAGAGCGTTACAATATATATATATATTTTACACCTTCGTTGCTACTGTTATCATTGTAATTGCAGCTCCTGATGATGATGGCAAAGTCCATTGAAAGCTAGAGAGAATTAAAAAAGTATAAAGAGTCCTCTTTGCTTAAATCTTGTCGAAGTACCCAACAAAAAAGCGGAAGCTTTAATTTTTCACCTAACTGGTCTAGACGACAATGACCACGTCTCAAGTTATATATATATATATATATATGTTCGTAGCGAATGTTTTTCTAAGAGAAACCAGCTTGTGCCGAATATAATCCCTCATGAATAGATAACAACGTTGTGTAGGAAGTACGGAGTGAACCTACTTGACGCCATTTCTTCTTCTACATTGTCTGGTTTCTGGGTTACAAACTCACACTATGGCACAAGAAATAAGGTCCTACGGCCCGCTCTGACAACCATCAATGACTTGACGGCATTCAAACGATAATTAGAACACAGATCCAGACCTGTCCTTTCTGTTATCGGGGTCGTGTTACCTTATAAAAACGCAGCTATCATTGTTTTCACTGACTGCACGTCGAAAATGAATTTAGTGTAGTGTCATCGGGCGCACACGAATCGCAGCTCGAGACGTGTAGCGGTTAACACTAGGATAACATTAGGATCAGAAGTTTCCTAATAATAGAACATCTTTCACTAATACCAAGGATGCAACTTTTGCAACCCCTCACCCCCCAAGACTTCGTACCCACAATTTTTATCCCCTACGAAACATTTTCTAGAAATGAGCTGGAATGTCTTAAATGTCAAATATCCAAGTTTTAGCATTATTTTTGTTTTCTGTCTGTAACGCCACCGCTACTGAATCGATTCTTATGAATACTAAACAAAACAAAATTTTTATGTTAAGCTGAGCTGAGAAATTCCGTTTAGAATTTTTCAATATTGAGTATTGACATTTAGTTAAATATGTTCAAATATGCACAGTGAGCGAGATACGTACAGACGTAATCCGTTGGCAACGGTTTCGGTTCTGTAACAACTTGAAGCCTTCCTTCAATAAGTGCTGGGATTTTGGGGTTTGGTGCATTGAAGTTGATGTTGGGTGGAATTATCCCAGTTTCTAGTGCAAGAACTACCTGAAATAATAAAACGCTAACGTCTCAAGGGCATCCCCAGAAAGCACGATCACAAAATATCTCAAAAAATACGTTTCCTTGAGAAAAATGTTAAATTGTAAAACAAAGTAGTAAGCTTTGAAAAGGCAGTTTTCTTTAATGGAAACCCCGCTTTTTTAAACCTTGACCATGACATCATCGGCGCTTGGTGGTGCTCTAGAGATAGGAAAAAGCCAAATACTTTGAAAAGAACGTTGCGTGGAGAAAAATGTAGCAGCACAAAGTTCTAACGCTTGAAAAGGGTCAACAAATAGTAATCTTGGACCTAAACTTCACTATCTCATTGAAGCTTACTTGAAGGTTAAGAGAGTTTTTTCAAAATAATGGAAACCTTCATATTTGACACTGGAAATATAAAGAGCAGAAGTAGGTCAAGAGCATTATCATATACTTGACCGTTCCTTGATTATGAGCTTCAAGGTTATTTGAAGGTCAAATGAATTTTTTAAGGGATTCTTGCTTCCAGAACCGTAATTTCACGTCCCGCTAAATCATCGATCATAGCAAAACCTTCAAGGCCATCGCGAATATCAAGTTCAACGACTACAACTCTGCTATGCAGCACTTTTCTGTAGCTAGCATACTTGTTCTATTCATACGTTCAGGACGCCCTAAAATGAACCCAACGTCAAGGTAAGAAATATCGACTTTACTTGAACGCACAATTTCCTGCTCTGGTGTCAAAAATAGGGGTTTTCTTTGAAGAAAACTCTCTCGACCTTCAAATTAACTTCAAGGTCATTACCCTGTTCAAACCCCATATCTCTGACCTACATTTTCTCTATTTAACGTATTTTTAAGATATTTTGATGCAGCTATATCTTTTGGTCACCTTGTATATGCCAATCTTACCTTTGCGAGAGAACCCATGCCAGATGCACCTTCAGCGTGTCCGATATTTGATTTCACAGAACCAACCAGAAGGGGCTCTTTTCTGTACTGCGTTATGGCTCCGTCGATAGCGGCGCATTCTACAGGATCTCCAATGCTAGTACCTGGAATTACGTTGTCCAAATTGAAAAAAATGTGGAAAACGTAACTTACCTTTCCCAGATGCAATTTGTACGTAAGAAAATGCATTTATGGATAAATATACGGTATTTCGGTTCTCAGTGTCAACTAAGAAAAATAGCTTGTTTTGTTCTTACATTCATTTTATCGCATGTAATACTCATTTGACAGGGTCAGATAATATTTTGAGTTTGACAGCTTTCGTCAGTACTAGGGGAAATGTGTGACCAGGGGGGTGACATTTGGAAAAGATACTTTAAGCGTGATATGAATACCATTAGGGTCGTATCGTCAGTCGTTCCTACAATATTGTAGGACGCCTTTATTGCTTTGATTTTCATAGTTTTTTTACTGTTCCGTGTCAGCCCTCTATTTTGAGGTTATGTCAAAAATATCTATTTGCATCAAACGGGGCATGCTTTCGATTTATATCACCTGTTTTTTCAGCCTGAAATTGTGCTGAGGCACTATCATAAAACAGGGGGGCATTTATGATACGGGTTGTGTCAGAAAAGGAAAACAAAAACCAAACAGCGTGATAAAATATAACATAAAACTGTAATAAAAAAAACATTTGACTAAAAAAACCAATATAATATTACAAATAACTGTCAAACAACAGAACATCTATCACGAAGTCATTTTAAAAAAATATCACAGGAAACTAAAAAATAAAAAGCATGTGACTGAAGGCCATTTCTGTTTTGCATAAAAAAATTGAAGTTTTTGAGTTACTTAAACTTAGTCACTGTCTGTATATCAGATTTTTCTTGTTGCATTCCCGTTCTCTCTATACTATATAAGTTATTTTTGTATTTTTTTAAATGTTTTTCACCAAGTCTAAGCAGCAACATTTTTTTGTATTGTATCCAGTTTGATAAGTATCGCGAACAAAGTTGAAGGTAAAATACGATTCCTTTTCTTTGTTTTGATTATCTCCATATATGAGAACGTCCACTCGACATCTGCATTACCATGTGGCAAATGTTAAAATTATTAGCCATACTTTGAAAATACACTTCACATGTTGTGGTCTTACCACCAATAAGAATTACCGACCGGTGGTTACCACTTTCGATTGGAAATATACCTGTATTTAGATTTGGTTACTAGCTGCACTCATTTTTTTTCTGGTAAAAATATCCTTCATGTGAACTTAAATTGCAAAATTCCGCTACTTTTAACCAAAAATCCAATACCGCCGCTACGCCGCTACCACTTGAAAATTCCGCTACCAGTAGCGGAATTCCGCTACTTCTGGCAACACTGCCCACACGACTAGTATAGGGTTGTGAAGTGGACGTTCATGCAAGCGTCGGGGATTAGTTTCGGACCAAAACTGACAATTTTTTTTGTTAACATGGTCATTAAGGTGAAAATTGGCCTCATCACTAAACATCAAGTTGCTATAACTATTGAATCGGTCGAGCATCAAATTGACAAAGTTAAGCTGGTTATTGGCATCATCTGGTATTAATTCTTGGACAAGTTGAATCTTATAAGCCTTCAAATGCAAATCACGCTTCAAAATTCTCCGCAAGCTCGTTATTTTGATGTCCAAAGCCTGACTTCTGTTACGTGTTGACTGTTGCGGATTTCGCTGAACTGAAACACGAACACTCTCTACATTATCGGCTGATCTTGTAGAAACTGGACTACCACGAGCTGTCATTGCTATTGTCGAGCCGGTTGATTCCCGCCTTTCTGAAATAAGTTGTCAGGGAAACACATTTTTCAGCAGCTCTATGGATACCCTAGCTGTATGACATGTGGCCCCATCTTGTTGAAACCACATCCTAGAGGTATTGCCTTGGAGTTCTTGCAAAGCTTGCTCCAAAAAGTCTGTTATCATATTGCAATAATTGTTAGTTTAACTGTCATCGCTTGCCCTCTTTCGTCCTCAAGAAAGTACGGTCCAATAATACCGGTTGACGTAATTCCAGCCACACGACTAGTTTAGGGCTGTGAAGTGGACGTCGGGCATTAGTTTCGGACCAGAACCGACAAAATTGGCCTAGTCATTAAACATCACGTTGTTAAAACTGTTGAATCGGTCGAGCATCAAACCGACAAAATTAAGTCGGTTATGGGCATCATCTGGTTTTCATTCTTGAAGTAGTTGAATCCTATAAGCCTGTTATTGCTACTGTCGAGCCGGTTGTTTCGAACATTCTGATTCATTTCCGAATCACATTGGCGCTTGGAACTTCTCTTAAATCGTGCAACCGCGTTCATGTCGATACAAACGTCGTGTAGTAATAACCGATTTATTGTTTTCATAATACGCTTGGACACAAAATGCACCTTGCGCTCCCGTGTACGGCTCCATGGCGACTAAATTTCCAGGCAACGGCGCGGCTAACAACCTATCCGGGCCCCGAGAAATTTAAGATTTAACGCCAACACTTTTACGGCCCACCCTGTATAATGAGATATTGGTCGAGCGCGGATCCAAGAAGGCCGAAATCGACGAATTAGAGGTACTTGACGTCAAGGACAGACTACAGAGCGACAGGATCGTTCTTTGAGGCAACTAGCACTTAGAGAACCATTTTCCACAAGTGCAGTTGCAAACCTGTGGTTTGATGCTGTCGGAAGGGCAATAACAACGAGGACAGTTTTTCGCCGAATAAGGTCTTTTGGACTGTTTTCATACCGTCCTCATCTTGTACTAGCTCTGACCCCATAGCATCGTCGGCAACGATTGAATGGAATATGGAATGGAACTCAGTCGAGTTCAGCTATGGGTCAAGAACGGCATATTCATCGCACTGTGGGTGTTACAGTATGGGATGCATACGGCAGCAGGTCACAATTTGTGTTCATTCGAAGTAGCATGACTGCCCAGCGCTATATCCACGAAGCTTTACAACCACATCTGCTTTTTGGAAACATTGAAAGATCCACTTTTTCAGTAGGACAATGTACGGCCTTATATCGCACGTGTTAGTTTAGACTTTTCAGAAGCGTCCGGAGTATATCTGCCTCAGTGGCCTCCTTGATGTCCATGCCTTTCCCCATCAAACATGTATGGGAAATGATGGGAAGAAGGCTGCAAAATTCACCGCGTCCTCCACAAACATTGGAGGCTCTACGAAACCTAATTCAGATGGTCTAAAATACAACACACCAAGAAGACTTCAATCACCTAATCCAATCAATGCCGCGACGACTTAATGAATATCTAGCGAACAGAGGAGCTTCAATACATTATTAACATTAAGGTGGGATATCCCAGGTATTTTGCGAAATTTCGAGTTAAAATTTTATTTACTCTCTATTTATCAGTAGACCTATAACTTGAAAAAGTATGCTCAAAATTACAGCACTTCTAGTCGGTGTTGCATTTTGACGTCTGTCCTTAAAGTTATGGTACAAAATTCATTGTCTTTAATTTTAACAAACACAAAATAATATCAAGGTGCCTTTGGAAACAAAAGTTTGTTGACTTACCTTACTATCAGTTGACATTTATTTATTTTGAAGGTTCCGCTTTAAGATGACGTGTAAATTAGAAATAAGGAAAAGTATCTACAAGTTGGTTGGGCGGGTACCCAAAGCTGAAATCTGTCGAATATTCCAGAATGAAAACGTCTCACGCAAAAACATTTATCGAACAATAGCGGAGTTCGAGCAGGGAATACCATTTCTGAATCTCACAAAAAGTGGAAAATCACGTGCATTTACTGCAGATGTCAGAGAGATTCGAAAGAAGAGCAAAAAATCAGGTAGTAGTGTCAAAGAGACCAGCTCGTCAATACAGATCTTCTAAGAGGACGATATCATCAAAGAGACTTAAGTGCCCCAAATACTCTCAAGCACAACTCCTTCGTATATCAAGATGTTGTCGTCAATGAGGCGGGTGACAATGTTAGATATAATCATAAAGCGAAATTTGCAGCTAAAGTCCTTGTCTGGTGCGCAATTTCTAACAGGGGTGTATCCCAACGTTTTGTGGAAAGAGTGGGTGGTGAAGCTTTGAATAGTTAGAGCTATATTGATAACTGCCTTTCCAAATTGCTTCAGTTTGTCCACGAACATGATGCTAATGACCATATCATGTTTTGGCCAGACATAGCATCATGCCATTACTCAAGAAATACCCAAAACTGGCTTCGATAGCACAACAACCTTTTGTTCCCCAAAACGATAATCCTCCAGACTTGCTTCAGGCCCAATAGGGGATTTTTAGGCTTTATGTCTGGGAAGCCCAAGATCAAGAACAATTAAGACGGCGAATTTACGAAAAACTTAGATAAATTGATCTGAATTCCATCCAGGACCTCCTGAGGAAGTTGCATCTGGTAGATCAGAATGGGCCATTCCTCATAATTCTAGAGTATAGTTTAGTTGAGTATTGAGTTGTAATGTATGATAAGTAGTTAGGGTTTAAATAAATTTCTTCATTGAAAAAAATGCGATAAATATTTTGTGCTAAAACTTTTAGGACATACGTTTTATGTCATCTAGTTTTTACTGGAACCACGGGCGAAAAAGTATGTGCCGACATTACGTGACCAACTGCTGCGATCCTGGTTTCAGTAGTTTCGTCTATCAACTGTAATTTCTTGATTTGGTACGTATTGAAGTCAGATCGCGGAATTGTGACATTTACACAAAAATATGCAGTTTGAATTGTGCCAGTTGAGAATGACATAATTTTCAGGAACCACTAAATACGTGTTTTGTAGCATTTATACAAATGTTCAGTGTCTATTTGCATGAAAATGTGTTATAAACTATATCTATTCAGCAATACAAAAAGTATTCGTAAATTATTATACCAGCTAGATGTACAGAGATTTGTTGATGTTAGTAAAAGTCGGGAATGTAGTACGCTATGGGAGTATACGAGTACATTTTGTTGATTTTCAAGCATATCGTGCCCAAATCTTGTTGGTTACCTTGTCATCATATGTTACAAATAAAGAATGCATATTAAACACTATTTGGATGGTTTGCTTAAGCATTTTTGGCGGAACATCGAAATCCCAAATACCATATATTCACCCCTATATTGTCGCAAGGACGTCAGTATCTGAAGTTAAAAAATATCGTACCTGTTCCATGAGCTTCCATGTAGCCTATTTTATCCACGGATACCCCACAGTGATCATAAAATTCTTCCAATAATATTTTTTGAGCATCCTGTAACAGAATTAGGTTCTGTTGTCGAATCCTGATAATAATAGGTAATATATGATTTCTCATGCCATTTTGCAGTTGCAGCAGCTTCAAAGCTTCTAATTTTATGTGTCAGTAATTTAATTTGTTAGGATACAGAAATACGGAAAATGTATATGGGGTGTCTCACGCAGAGCTGCTGCAATCGATTTCTCGAAAAGCTGACGTAAGGCAGTTATGAACATTTGGATTATTAGTATAAGCAATTCGGCTAAAATGTATTCACAATGGTGGCCCATCCGATTGTACCGTAAGTTGAAACCAACTTGCTATTTTAAATAGAATATCCTGTATAGTATTCAATTTTTGGATTCTTCGTGAGATTCTAAATCATATTGACTCTATGCGTTTTTGAGATATCTCAAATTTTGCGTAGAAAATGACAAAAGCAAGGCAATGAATTATAACCATTTTTTTAACCTTTTTTCGACTTACTCAAGTAAACTTGATTCAGGATTTGGATAACAAATATCACAGAGTGGCCAAAATAGGGAATGATAAGTAATTAAAAATTGAAGAAAACCCAAGAAGTCAATTTTCTCAATGGATACCACCTTTCATAATTTCGTCGAAGTAAGGTTGATTTTGTATGGGGTGTCTGTTTCGCAAACTACTAGTTTTATGAAATTTGTATGTAGAACAATTGGTTCATTTGTTGCCTAAATGGTCCATACGGTAATCTCAGTTGGAGTGACAAAAATACTACTTAGATAAACCAATGTTTCTATATAACTCGGAAAAGTTGCCAATTCTCGTAAAACCGGCCGATGTGCTCCCATTAATAACACTATGAACCCAAAATTTCATAACCGTTCACGTCAACTTTTTCATTCGTCGGCTGCCGCGGTCCTACTTGGTTTTTTTGCAAACATATATGGCTGAAATATATCAACGTTACGGAACGCGGACGATTTCGGATTATTTGTTATTTTTCAAAATGGCCTGGAAAAATATTAAGAATGGAGTAATGAATGTTTAACAACAGTAGATGGTATGTTGACACAAGCTAAATTTATTAAGGCTCTGGCTTGACATTTCATTCATCACCTTTTTTGTAATTATTTCTTTTTGTTTTTGTTTTACAATGAGGATTTACGAACCATGGAAGGGTATGTGATTCCCTGTTCTTTGTGGCCATCTGTATTAACGCTGGAATAGACGACTTGTCCATAAATCCTCTTGGCATCCTTAGCCTTCTGTAACAGCAAGACGCTTGCTGTCTCTGATCGAACGTAACCATTGTTGCTCTTGTCAAATGGACGACACGTAGCGTCTTTGCTCAGTGGACCTAACCTAGGAAAATACTATTTTACAGAGACTCCTTTTTTATGGAAGATTATAGCCAGGTACAAAATTGGACGAGGATAGCGTAACGAATCGTACTCCACTGTTAACGCGATGACTCCTTGAATACGGTTAAGGCCAGCATTACACTATAAAAGTTCTTTGATATATTTGATAAAAAAAGTTGGAAAAGAAATGTGACAGTGTAATAGGCCAACTTTTATAAAAGGAAACTGTTATGAAAGTTCTTTTATCATATTTAGCCTCTTCGTCCTATATTTTATAAAAGATTTTGCGTAGTTTTGTCAAGATGGGGGAAAACAGATGGTGTTTGGCGTACTGGCGCAATGTCACCGTGAGCCGCTCCTCAGTGCTGATGGGGCTTCGTAAATGTGTCATCCTTATCCATTCTCAAAAAGTTAACATAACTTCTTTGATCTTCCACTGCCAGTTCTTGGAGCAAGTTATTGTAGATCCTCTTCACCTCACTGCGGGCGATATACGGTATTACCCATAGCCGCTTCTTTTTGGTTGTTAAAGCCACTACCATGGCTGCTGAAGTAAAACTAGCTATGGCAGCAACCTGAACGTCGTCGTCCATAGCTGTATTTGCACGACCTGCTTAAAATAGTTTATAAAACCTTTTGTGTAGTGTAATAGGCTGTTTGGCAACCATAACATTTCTTTTATGTATAACTTTTCTAAAAGTAATTTATAAAAGGCCTTTGTGAAAGAACTTTTATAGTGTAATGCCGGCCTAAGTGAGATCAGTGCAAATGTAAATAGACACGACGCGTTAGAAGAGGCGTATGGTACTCCCTTTCATTTCTGTACCCCAGAGCCAGACTAGTTTGTCCATTTTTGTCATATGTTAAGCTTATGATAATATTATGAATTTTCATTTGCTACTTGCAACGTCTATCTATCTGTAATAATACGGAAGTTACGACTTTTTAAATTATTTCAAGTCTCATACAATACAAGCCAAGAAAAAGATTTTAAATTGAATTATCTCAAAACTACTTAATAGGACTTAACGTAGTCTGGCTCTGAGGTACAGATTATCGTACTTGAATTTAGCCATTGATTAACGTATTCTGATAGGAGACACTAGAGTTTAGTCGCGTCGTTCCTAATAACGTAGAGAATTGTAGGAATCGTTTCCGGTCATTACCAAGGAATCTATTTCGATGGTTTCGATTCCGATTTCTGGCTGATACTCGCATGGTATAAGTTAATCGCTAAACGCTAAAAACTCCACCTAAGGGGAATGAGATAACGACCTACATTAGAACTTGAAGCTTATGTGATAGAAGCTTTCAATGTATTCCGCTAGTGCCACACCTGAAGCATCCGTTGAGCCGTCCTCCCAGAGAAGCTTTGCTGATGGGTGGATGACGTTCTCGCTGACCGCAAGATATTTGTCGTAACTGACGGGTTCTCCTCTTCATCCCAAAAGGTCAACACGGGTGTTGCAGGTTGATCGGTCTTGACTTCGAAACTGTTTCTCCTACATATCAACGGTTTCGTTTCCTTCACGTTCAATCCGATTAGCGACAGCGCTCTACATCTAGCAGTTCAGGGTTCCAAGTCGATTTTTGCCGGGTAGTTAAAGAGAACACTAGCAGCCACTTCCTCTCTGTCGAGAGATTTGTAGCACAGTACTGGACCTTGCTAACAAGAAGCGCCCAGCGCTCATCCAGTTTTGATGAATGGTCAAGTTCAACCAAGGAGCCGTTCATTTCGACTGGGCGGAATCCGGGTCACCGATGACTTGATTTGGCATGAACACCTCTCGTCAACTGTGGCAGCTACAAGGGACAAAGCTAGTCTATTTAGGGCTAAGAAGTACTTTTCTTCACATAACCCCCTCACTCTGTTCAAGGCCCAGATAAGACCTATCCTCGAGTATTGCACACATGTTTGTGGTGCTACCACTCCGACTACATTATCCATGATTCTCTAACGGACAGTCTCAGGATCCTTTCGCATCGACGGATCGTCGGCGATCTCGCTCTCATCTAAAGCTATGTCAACAGACAGACCCGCCGGTGTCCAACTTCGTACATCCAGAACTAGCCAGTACGATAGCCCCTATGTCCCCATCGTGGAACAATCTGCCTGAGAAGACTTTTCTCAGTTCTAGTTCTAGTATCCACTAGGCAGCCTCAGTTTTTAGGCTTCCGCCTATGCTGCTGCTTTGATATAAAAAAAAGAATGTTACATCATACCAGCTCAAATATCTTAACGTTAAGGCAGCATACAACGCTACTACAAGTGAACATGAAGTGAATGATAGCTAGTTCCAAAGTGACAATCATAATAGCAAACTGATCGTCGTTCCTGTCACTTCGCACTACATAACAACCGAACGAGCTGTATTTGAACGAATTATTTGAAAGGGACGATGGTGCAATAAGGATACTCGAACTCACATTTTTAATTCCAGCAACTCCAAACTAGTAAGGATCTAGATAACGTAATAAATGAGATGTGGAGTTTGGAATATGGACGGTTTTTGGATTAATCTCGCCATATATTATTGTTAAATTCATCGTAAGAAGCGAAACCGAGAGAATATAATGGTATCAAAGCTAAATATTAGGTGAACAAGCTAGTGATACAGAAGAAAGCAACATTTAAAGAATTTCAGGTAGTATTGTCGGGAAATCTTGTATTGCCCCATTATATCATTAAACAGAACTGAACGAAGTCACAAAATGTTTCAAGGTCAAGTCTGAACCCACTGAAAATTTAAATTGTATCCTGTTGATTTCATTGTGTCAGTTTGACAACTGAACTTTATATTCCGAAATAGCTTAGAACGATTGACAAATAAGTATTTTGATTATCGCTCCTCGTGTATTTTCCATTTTTTTTCTCGATCCATCACGAAGGCTTAAGGCTAAACCCATGGGACCTTGGGGGGATACATGGGAAAATAGGGACGCCATACGGACTCTAGCGAGGGAATACGTATACATGTAACATGCACATATTCTGGCCCTGCTTTAGAGATCCGCCGGGTGGTACCTCCACGTTTGACAGTCAGAGACCGTCTACCACCTATGTACAGGGCGACCAACGAAGAATGCGAGGTGCTGTATCTGGAAACCTATTCAACGCAGAGGCTTGCGGCAAAAAAGTACTTACTAAAACGGCCAAGAGGAAAATCTGTAAACTATTTTCAAGTTTCTGAAATAGCCGCTAGGGGGCGTAACTGCAATCTTGAATCTAAGAAAGTAATGTTTCTATGCATTCCGGTATATAAACCGAAAAAAATACCTGATCTTTAAAGCCGAGGATAATGTGAACTTCACTTGTTTGAAAATTTTGGCTGGCTCTCTGAAAATAAAGTAATGAAGGGCATATAAAGGTTTCCGTAAAAAACACCCTGTACCTTCGAAACGGCTGAGCCGATTTTAACAAACTTGATGTAGTTGAAAAGAGCTATTCTTGGGCTACAAATGTTATAATACTTTAAGCTTTGCTAGTTTCACATGTGACCGCTAGAGGGCTTTTCCCGACATTCCGACAGAAATGGTTGGTTTCCTAAAAACAATTGAAAAAGTAGCTAAATGACATCCAAACAAGCTCGCCAAAACCGCATCTCGATATCTTGTTCCTAACCTAAAATTTAGACCAAAGAAGGTTTTATACGCAAATCCCTTAAATTTTTACTTTGTAAACTAATTTTTCTGGATTTTTTCATTCATCAGATCAAAATCACCTTTTTTGAAGATATTGCAGAATATCGCTAAAAGGTAAGTAAGTAATGCTGGTGACAAAAGGCACATTTTTTGTTTAAATGCATATTCACTAGGGGTATATACGCAGAAGACAATTAATAGAAGCAGGCCATGGAATACAACAAAACAAATACCTAATAAAAAAATAGATAATCCTCAAATTGTCAATAGTTGTCAACAGTTTACTTTAAGCAATGTTTGTGCTTATCAAATGCGTTTTACGAACGATGAAGCTGTTGATATGCTTACCGCTTATGGTATTATGAATGACTTCAGAATGCCTCAGTAGCAAAAAGAGCTTACGCGACAATGGTAGTTTTCGGCCTACATTTCAACGGCAAAGAATTAGAAGAATACAAGAAAATATAAACCACGTACTGGGATATATTGAAGGATTTCCTTGTTTCTTGTTAGCACAAGGTCATTATCCCTTGAGTTGGGCATATCACGAACAATGCTTCAAAATGTTTTGAAGAGCCATAGATGAGCTCTATTGGCCATCAAATTATAGGGATTTATTAAAATTTAACTTTTTTGAATTCCTTTTAGAATACACCCAAATCATGTCGTTTTGCACCAGGCCTTAAAAGAGGAAGACTTTGATCGGAGGTTAGACCATTGCCATTGGATGTTAGGCATGATACCCGAAAATAGAGAATTTTTATTTCAAATTCTTTAGACCGATGAAGCCTCTGTCAATGGTGACGGGAGAGTCAATATGTACAATATCCATTATTGGTCTGCAGAAAATCAGCATTGGTTGTGTTCAGCACTAAGGCCGTTGGAGTGTAAATGTGTGGTATGGCATAGATGAATGAATCGTGAAATTAGAGGCATTCCGGCAACCATGAGAAGCCAGCACATAGGCCGTTTACACTGGCCCTTATGCACTTCTACATTCCTTAGACCTCAACCCTCGCCTTTCTAGCGAAATTGAGTATTGCCTTAAGTCCAAGCTCCTTGACGTCCTCCCCACGTGCTCAATTGGGGATAAGTCGGGAGATCTTGGTGGCCATGGTAACAATGTGACATCATTATGTTGGAAGAAGTCTATTGTGACTTTTGCAACATGTGGTCGGGCATTATCTTGTTGGAAAGTTGGATCTGCCAGGGTGTCAAGATAGGGTAAAAGATGGGGTTCTAGAACTTCGTGGATATAACGCTGCGCGTTCATGTTACCTCTGATGAAGATTAAAGGTAACCTGGAACCATAAGCTATAGCACCCCAAACCATAACTCCAACAGTGTGATGAACATGTCTTTCAACAAAAAACTGTGGATTCCCCCTTTCACCACGTCGCCTTCTAGCCCTGGCACGACCATCGTGCATGCCTAAACAAAATCGAGACTCGTCACTAAAGACAATACTGTTCCATTTCTAATCCCAGAGTGACCGTTGTCTGCACCACTCAAGGCGATTACGTCGGTGTTCTCGAGTTAAAGGGAGGACCCAGTGTGGCCGGTATGAAAACAAGCCAAAACTTCTCATTCGTCGGTAAACACTTCGCGTGCTAATAGGTCTTCCGTGTTCTACAAACCATTCATTTGCAATGGACCTGGTAGTGGAGAAACGGTCCCTTAAGGCCAATAATCTTAGGCGGCGATCTTCACGGTCTGTTGTTCTACGGCGGCGTCCAGTGCCCCTTGCTCTTTGCGTACGGCCTTCTCGAAGCCATGCCTGACAACACCTAACCACAGTGTCTACACTTCTTTGCACTATAACTGCAATTGCCCGAAAAGAAAGTCCAGCTTCCCGAAGTCCCACTATACGGCCCCTATCAAACTCACTAAGTTGACGAAATCGTACAGGTCTGCGTACTCTAGGCATCGTAACCGATCGTAAAGGATGTCAAGAACCAAAATCCGCCAACGTTGATTCTTTACTGCGGCTGAAATATTCATTTTTAGAGCGTTAGTGGATTAAAAAAGCAGTATAAAAACCGGAATGTCCAACTGATAAGGCTGAAATTTTTTTCACTTGTTATTTACAGTGAGATAAATACATTCACCAACTTTTATTAAAACAAAACCATTTAAACTGGGTGTTCGGATTTACATAGTCGTGCCATAAGTTCTGTCCCATGATAATCTCATGATAAAAATGAAACAAGATAAGATATATTTATATGAAAGATATTATTTATTCGACAACATTTTTAGAATTCATAATCAAACAGTTTTATTCAAAATGTCCCCCCTTGGCCTTCACACACTGCTTCAATCTCGCGGGCCACTCATCTATCACTGCACGCGCAGCTTCCAAAGGAATAGCTGCCGCTGATCGGATCAAATCCGCTTTCAGGGACTCGATATTACGGTGGGCTTTGGAGCAGGCCAACTGCTCTAGCAGGTCCCACAACTTGTAGTCTAAAGGATTGAGGTCCGGACTCCCTGAGGGCCAATCTTCCGCAGCAATGAACTCTGGCACATTGCTTTCCAGCCAGCGCTGCGTACTCTTAGCCTTGTGAGCGGGGGCGGAATCCTGCTGGTAGACCCAGTGTTGGTTGGCAAACAATGTACCACTTAAAGGCTTGACGATAGGATCCAGTATGTCGCTCTGATAGTTTGCCGCTTTTGTTTTCACGCCCTGTTTACAGAAATGGAGCTGAGTGACCCCTTCGTAGGACACCCCCCACCAAACCATGACTGACGCAGGGTGGTGGCCTCTCTCAACTCTCGGAATGATCTCCGAAGCTTCCTGTGAACTCCTTGCATACACTTTGTCATTTTGTCGGTTGAATTTTTCTTCTATGGTGAAGATTTTCTCATCCGTGAATAAAATCTTTCAGAATCCCCCAGCTGCGTACCTCTCCAAGAGCTTCTTGGATCTTGTCGCCCTGATGTGTCGCAAGGTGGCCGTAAGTCGCTGGCCCGTACGTCGCCGGTAAGCCCCTAGCCCTAGGTCTTGTTTAATGATGCGCGACATCGTCCGGACAGGAATCTTCATTTCCCTGGATAGGATCTTCTGCTTCCGGAGTGGATTCCTTTGAATCCTGGCTTTTACGGCTTTGATGGCTGCTGGAGTCCTTACTTGACGAGGTCTTCCGCTTCTTGGCCTGTCATCAACAGAGGACGTCTCATTGTACCGCTGAATGGTCCTAGACACAAATTTACGCGATATTTGAAGGCCGCGTAAGAGTTCAAAAATCTGACTAGCACTGTGATTACACTTATGTAAAGCTATCACTGCAATACGGTTCTCTGCCTTGCCCCACTCCATCGTTATGCTTCGAGAGATCAATACAAACTGAGGTATATGTAATTACCCGAAAAGCGCTTAATCAACTGACACCACAATGTAAACAATCGGACAAGTATTAACAGGTCTACACTTGTTTGAAAACGAGGGACAGAACTTATGGCATGACTATGTATATGTCACTAAGTATATTACAGTTTTTGTTTGGAAGATGTGCCACTGGAAACACGGGAAAACTTGTTTTTGCAGTTGGATGGCTGCCCAGCACATTTTGCTATTATTATGCGAGAGCATATGAATGCAGTATTTCAACAGCGGTGGATTGGAAGAAGAAGTCTGTTTCCGTGGATCACCAGACTTAATCTGTCTTGATTTTTATTTATGGGGACCGATAAAGGACATTGTATTTGAGAACCTACCTACAACAAGAGAAGATATGAAAAACTGCACTCGTAATCCAATACGTAACAAACCGAGAGCCGAAATTGGAGCTACAGTTTTGTTGAAAAAATCAGTTTAAAGAATTCCGAATAAAATCTTCTGCCTAAATTTTAGGTTAGAAACCAAATATCTAAATGCAGTTTTCGCGAGCTTGTTTAGACATCACTTAGCTACTTTTTCATAAAAAAAATCATACTAATGGATTAATTTTTTTTTTTGGAAAATTAACGATCTCTGTCGAAATGTCATGGAAGCCCTCTAGCGGCCACATCTGACTCTATCAAAACTTCAAATATTATAAAATTTGTAGCCCAAGAATAGCTATTATCAAATCGCCCAAGTTTTTTTACGGAAACATTTGAATATTCCCACCACTTTATTTTTAGAGATACAGCAAAAATTGTCCAACAAGAAAGGTTCAGACTAACTTCGAATTTAAAGATCAGGTATTTTTTTCATGTTAATATAGCGGAATTCGCAGGAACATCACGTTTTTAGATTCAAGATTGCAGTTACGCCCTCTAGCGGTCATCTCAGAAACATGAAAACATCCAGGTTTTTCTCTTTGCCGTCTTAGTAATATCTGTTTTTGCCGCAAGCCTCTACGATGGGTGGGCTCCCAGATACCGTACCTTGCATTCTTAGTTGGACACTCTGCACAATCACAACAACCATAGCTAAGAGAAAAATTATTTTGGGACGGGATTTGGACCCGCCCAGCACACGCGACTGATTGGTAGACCCATAACGTCCACCTCTACGCCACCGCTGCTGCCTTTTTTTGAATGTCCCAGTAATCGACATAATTCTCAAAAACGGATTTTAATTTAGAACAAAAACAAAACATTTGTACATTACTCAACTTGGATGGACCAGTCCAAACCAAATCGGCCTTCAGTTTGAGTTTTCAGGTTTGACCCCAGATAACTAGGTATTTTGTAGTATTTGTAAAATGAGATGGAAATGAAATGATCGTGATGTAAAATCGAAATAGCCCACTTCTCAAACTAGGGAGGTAATTAGTAATATAGCTCGTCAGACCTCAGAAAGCCAACCATGCATAGCTATTTAGTGCTATTTGGCAGCTCATAAGCATGGTGTAAGATTGGTCTTGGTGGCAAAACAACAAACAAAAGCTGAGCCACTCTATTCCGAAAATATGGTTTATCCAAATAATTATATGCCTCAAAGAAATTATACATTTCTAGTACACAAAAAATATCTTGACGTACCAATAAATCCAAAACCCACAGGACAATCGTTGTCCAATTCTGTGGGGCATGTTGTAGAAAATGATAACTTAAGGTATATAATAAGTAGTTCCTTACCAAGCAAACTGCAAGGTAACCAGAGGATCGATGTTCATGTTCACACCAGCAACAATAGCACTGTCAACCACTCCTAATCTGATGGCCTTGAAAGCGGTTTCAAAAGCGGTCAAGGAACTGCTACATGCTGTGTCTGAAGTGAACGATGGTCCTTTCAGCTTCATATAGTAACCTATTCTGTGAGCTATTTGATTTCGCATATATCTGAAAATGTAAAATAAAAATAAAATCATCAACGAGTCAATGTAACTCCTGACACGTATCCTGTAGTCTCCATGTTCATAGGCCTTTGCTATTTAGCTGAATATATCTCATATATGTATGTTTTAGTTCCTTTTTATTGTACTTTACTTTGGCCTCGGTGGCCACTTTCAGGTACAATAACAATTGATTGATTCATTCATACAATGGTCTTCCTGATATCCTGGTCTATCAGTCAGGATGTCCGAAAAAATTTGCAGCTTTCCTTTTTAGAGCGCAAAGGTCATGCAACGATACGCAAATTTTCCTAGTAACTAATACAGCAACGTCGTAAGATGTTGAATTTTGAAGAAATCTAAATGGACCATCTAAAGTTCTCGATTTGATGTTAATTTGCAGTGAGTGTCTTCAAAAGCCTACTAATACTCCGCGAGTGAATTCAGATTATTTTTCTTGCTGTTTCCGTCTCGAGCTGCGTAGGTTTGTTTAGATGGTACAAAGACTGCGATGCGGACACAGCAGAAGACCTAGACAGCCCCAAATGATATAAGTTTAGTTAGAAGCCAACATGTAACAGAGATGTACTTGGAATTTCTAACCAAATGAATTGTAAGTACTTTTCTTCAATTTCCGCTGATGTTGTATCGCACATCAGTTTTGTTATTTCAATCGTTGTTGTTCATGAGAAGGAAACTCCTACGTTTCAGGATACAGTGTATTGTCCCAGGTTATATTATATGTTTTGAATAAGGCTAGGATAAAGAATGTCTTGAAGAATCAAGCCATACACATCTAATTCCTGTTTATTGCACAGTGTTTCGCCAACTCAGTGGCTTTTTTCAAGTACAAATAACTAATGACTTTAAGAAAACATAAGCTAAACATGTTTATTTGATTCTAGTATGTGTGAAAATGCACACAACTCAAGAAGTTGTACAAAGAGGAGTTGTTTTGCAGTAAGCAGACGATATGTGGTTTGTTTCGGCCAGACCATGGAGTCCTATTAACGAATCACTTTTAATATTATTCACAGTTTCCTTATGTTTTTGAGAACTACTTAACCATCGATTTAGGTATCATCACGTGACATTTCAGTTTACTAACGCTGCTACGAAGAAGCGCTTAAAGCACACGCACCAATTATTGATGGTTGCATTTTAAACAAACAATAACGGATCCTTGAGTGACCCTCTGGTTGTGATTTAACCTTTGCATTTTACAGTAAGCTATTACACCAGCTTTCCAACGCTCAAGAAGTTTCAGAAGTTCTGAAAATTTTGAATTTTTTTAAAAACGTTGGAAATTTTGAATATTGTATTTTGTGATTTTGGGTAATACAGATATTTTTAACACGTTGACTGCGTTGCAAAGAAATGGCACTATTTCTTCAATGCGATATAAGTCGCCCGGGACCGATAGCATGCTATTATTCAGACACGGTATCGGACTTCGGAGTCCGATATGCAAGTCTTTACCTAGAGCCCTCTAACATTTTGTGTTCAAACCAGAATCAGAAAACTATTGCAGAAATCTGTAAATATATTCTAGGTGAACGTAAGTCTGGCTCCGTATAGGTCGCTGACGACTTATACCGCATCAATGGCTAGATTTATTTTAAGCATAAAAAGAACACTATGGAATATTAATTTTATTTTAAATTTTGATATTTTGCCACTAAAACCATACAATATAATTCAAAGATATAAGCCAAGAAAAGGTTTCCATTATGTGTGTCATTTATTAAAGCAAGGAAGACACATGCCAGGTTTTCATGGACAATCTTCACAAAAACTCGTTAGTTTGGTAACTTTTTAATTGGCTTCACGGCTTGATAGTGCTGTTCGAAGATTTTGGTAGCATCCTTTACAAATCTTTCTTTTTTTTCTTCCTGGGCCAGTTGGCATTCTGAAAGTGTGTAACCTTTTACGCGTTGTTGGTTCAGAAACAACTGTAGGAGGATCTCTTAACTGTTCTGCTAAAGTTTTTCTAAATTCGGTTATCGACATTTTCTTCTTTAAAATGCGGTTGAAAATAATCGAGGCTTTTACGACACATGTTCCAAATAGAAATTCATTCATAACTTTCAACTCATTTCTTAGCTTTGTTATAATCTGTAACACACTTGGGCTTTAGAATGTCTTCACCCTTACTTTCTTGATTTTTTTTCAGTTTCTTGGACAGTGCTGATATGAGTAGGATCTGTAGTCAGCATTAAAACTGGCCGTTTATCAACCCATTTTATAATTTTAACGCATCAATTTTATTGACCATACGTCTTTGCCTTTTTCAACTTTTTTTAGAAAGATTTTGTGATTCCTTTCCTATTTCGCAAAATTTCAAATCCTGAAATTTTGGAAACTTTGAATTTCTTGAAAATCTTGAACACTTTGATATAGAAAAATTTAAATATTCTGAGATCGGAAATTTTGAAAATTCCAATTTCTGAATATTTTTGAATTTTATAAAATATCGGTAGCTTTGTTAGTCTTGAAATATTGAAAGCTTAGGAAACCGAAAACCTTCAGTTGTTCCAAAGATTTATAAAAATGTACCTATATATTTGATAAGTTTAAAAGTTTAGGATTTCTATGAATTTTAAATGATCTGTAAATATTGAAAATTGGATAATTTATAAAATTGTAATCTTCTAATTTTGAAAAAATGGAAAATTGTGAACATTTTGAAATCTGAAAGTTACGAAATTGCTAGATAACTTTAACTTTTAGTTTTTTCAGTTTTAACATCTAGAAGATTCTGAATTTTATTTAATTTTTGGAAACTTTGAAAATTTGTGAAGTATGGAAAACTGTGATAACAACTCTTACCGCCTAATGTGAGACGCAAATGCTTAGAATAAAATACTAGGGCTGGTGAACCCCAATCGTCACTCAACTCTTAAGGGTCACTTAACGAGCTAAAGCTTGTGGCTGATAAATCTTCACCTTAATCTCTAGGTATATAAAGAACTGTTTAGCGACTGACTATACGTACCCAATCAACGGATATTCCGGTTGTGTATAAACCAGGTAGGCATTGGTCTCAGTTTCGCTGAAACAAGCTCCTACAAAAATTCCGCATCTCTCATTTTGCAAGTCTTCAGGGTGCAATCCAGCATCCATGACTGCCTCTACTGCTTTTTCGACGGTAAGTTTGACTAAGCCGTCGCTGTTATCGGCTAATCTTTCATGCCAACCTGCAAAAAAATAAAAAATAAATAAATTCTGTGACAAGTTCCGCGGAGAAAAACTAGTCCAAAACTTGGTGAAAATACAAGATTTAGTTTAATGTTAAGTCGTTGATTTCGAATCCGTTGTCAGATCCTCTATAAATAAAATAACGGAATATTTTCTGTGATCTTCAACCGATTTTAATAATAATATTAAAAATAATAGTTCAAGTATAATAGATGACACTTGTGCTACCGTATTTGGATAGATGATACGTTCCTCTGCTGTCGTTACTCGTGCGTTTTGTGTTAATCTTTCTTACTTTAAAGATAAATTAATAGACAAAATATGGTCTACTTTGATATATTGCAGGTTCATCAGCTTCAAGAGAGTGTAAATTCCCTCATGGGTTGAATTTCCAAAATTCCTCTATAAGTTACACTATATCAAAGAACCAACTAAAAAAAAGCATATTTGTCTCCCTAACATAAAGAATAATCGATTGATCATAGTAAATTTTACCCTCCCGTCTCAGTTTTATTTTCGCAACAAAACGTAGCCTATTGAAATAAGACAGCAGAGAGTGTCATCTATTACTAGAATCTACCTCAGCAAGAGTAAAATAGTAAGCCGCCTGTTGGAACTGTATCTCAGTTCGCATATGACAGCTTGGTCAAAACTGTGGCCGCTAGATGCCTTCGATTATGGTGGCATTGTAGACGCGGTCTACTCGCCATTCAACAAACTTGTAATATATCCTTATGTAGATCACCGTTGCAGACTTAATGAACATGTTTATCTCTAAATGTTTGTTCTAAATTAACTTTTTTTATAAAAGTTAATAACACTAATTTTTTCAATTTATTTAATTTTTTCGAATAGAAAGGGGGTAGCTCCTCGGCTTTTTCTAATAGACCATTTTCTTACGAATAATTTGACACTACAAACTCTTATTTTATTTTCACTATTTTTCTGAATAATTGTAAGAAGCGATCATACCTAACAACAAATAATAGGTATCTGCATTTGGTATACCTAGGCATTAAATCCTATTATTCTAGTTATCCGTGACAAACAATTGAAGGTGTTGCTTCCGAAATACAAAATGTACGACGAACCAGAAGAAAATGCGGATAACTTTATCGTCAGTGAAGAAAACGAAATATATAATATATATAAATGGACGTGTTGTGTTGGCCTATGTTGGGATAAACTATACAAATACATATCCTATCATTATTATAACAATGATAGGATATGTATCATTGTTATAATACATATCCTAGCAAAGCCTTATTTATTTTTCATATTTTAGATCACCAGACCTTACTTATCTAGATTCTTTGGCAACAATTGATGAAGTTGAACTGATTCATCTGATTATTGTATGGTTTTTTGTCAAAAAATTAATGTTTTGCATTTTATTGTGCATTCTTCCTGCAATCAGAGCTTGCTAACAAATATTAGTACAGCTCTGACATTGTACGTCAAAACTACATTTTTATAGTAGAATTAAGACTGTGATTACTTTTATTCCTGTCACTTTTTCTCTTCGAAAAATCTATGACTTTTTTGAAACTTTATTTTGCAACAAATTGAGCTTACAAGAAAAGTAAAGATTTTTTGAGAGAGAATGTGATAAAAAAGTTATCTCCCTCCCAATTCTTCCATAGAAGTGGTATAATCACATATTTGTGTGCTATTATTTATTAACAAGTTACAATTGAAGAAAAAATCGCTAGAAATGCACAAAATAAGCATTTTTTGACAAAAAAGAAATGGGTATCATGTCTTTCAGTCATTTCTAAACACACCATGAGACAATCAGACAAAATGTATGAAGAACACTTCCCCAGACAGGATTGAAAAAAGGGGCACGCGACGTCAAGACGACCCTGATGCTGCCTACTCTATTAGAACTTCCTAATTTAGCAAGGATTCTGCCGGTTTATAGGTGCGTTACATTATTCACCGAAGAAAAAATTCTCGGATGGGGGAAGCTACATTGATCACTAGAGACTGAATGGAGAACTTACCAAAAAATCCTGCATCGAACCGTGTTAGATCTCTTTTCATGTTACCGCCTGTGGGTGGAATGTCCGGATGGTAATAATCCCATCTCAATGGCCCTTTCGTCAAGTCCACCTTATTATGTAAATTATTGTGCAATTCGTAGAAATTTGAAGAGCCGGGAAATTCTCCGGAAAACCCTAAAATTAGAAGGAATTCACTATGCTGAACTGTATATGTTTGCTTTCCGTCACTGTAACCATGTCCAATCAGCGCTGTTTCGTGATCTTTAGGATTCATGAATACAGTATACGGAAAGCAAACAAGTGGGTATGGTCTATTGAAAATTGTGCGCAAATATTTGAAAAAGTCCATCCTGAGTTCAGCCTGTGTCAATTTATAAATAAATGCATATGGATTTGCTGGTTGCTCTGTGCATACTTTGTATTCCGGCTACTTGACGAGTCGACGTTTCAATGATGGTGGTGTGACACATCGTTGCCAGATGGGTCAGACAGAGTTCCTCCAGAGCGAGTACAAAAATCCCCCAGTTTTCCAACATTTTCAAAAGATATCCCCCAAACGACACTTATTAATGGGGAGGGGGCAGGTTTGGTTCGAAGTACAGGGGGGGGTGCTTTCTAGTTAGTTATTCCCTAGCTGATTAGCCATCAGGGCCCTATGCGGAAGACACGTGTTATGAAAAGGGAATTATCAGGTTCAAATTAATTTTTTTTTCTAACCTAGATATCCTGTAAACGCCGCATTCGAGTAGCTATGTTTCTGAACCGCAGTTGTGCATGGACGCGAAATAATAAGCGCATTATCCATTTAGCGCATGAAACAAGGATAGTTATATCAATCGGCTCGTTAAAATGGCATTTTCTGTTCTACGACTATGAGTACAGGTTTACCCTTTTGTGGAAGAAGAAAAATTACTATTCAGAAATGCGTTGTTTTGCGTGGTTACAAACAGAATGAAACACCCCAAAAATACCCAACAGTTTTATTTGTCCTTCAGAAAATCCCCCTGAACAGTTCCACCTCCAAAAATCACCCAAGACAAGTGGAATTTCCGAAAATTTAGAGAAGCATCCCCCATATGGCAACGCCGCAGTGACATCTATCTGTATATAGCACAGTATTCGAGCAGAAACCAGAAAACGGTCTTTCTGTTATTTTCAATATTTGGGTTGGGGATAAATCAACTTTGAGCAGTTATTTGTATGTGGAAATCATCAGGGTTCTCACCTATTTGCGCACAGGAATTCACTAGTCGCGTGTTATAAAAATTGGATGATCTTGAGAACCTATGAGGACTATCAATGATTTATAGCAATGCGGTAGGCAAATTGTTTCTGTTCTGCACCATCCTCGAATTTAGGATATCTCGTTTCATAATTGAGCCGCAGGATGCATAACTTGACCAAGCGCCATTTAGATAATGTTCAGGTTTTTGTTGCCATCTCGTGCGTAGTAGTTACTTATAAAAGACGCAGGCAACTATAGAGACCTGGCATTCAAGAGCAAAAATATTTCAGTTGAGTGTCTAAAGTAATATTTGTTGTTACTCATTTTGTAACACTTAACGAAACGCCCAGATTTTGTGTAGTGCTAGCAAAGGCAATTCCAACGTTTCTCCATATAATTGGCTGTTAGTCACCTAATACAAATTATACCATATACAAGAACGCTCTCTAAAATGATTTAATATTGTACTTTACAGGTGAACTATCTTAAGGATCTTTGAGCAAGGATCCTAGTTTCCAGAATTATTCCCTTTATTGCCACAAAATGAATCTATAATTTTAGGAACAACTTGATCAGTACTTCTCAGCCGCCACCCTCAAATTATCAACTGTTATTTTAATGTTCATATTCATGCGTCACTTTTCTCATCTCGAATTTCAACTTGCTAACTTGACCTCTTCGAAAAATTAGTAAGGGGGCTTTTTGAAAAGTACTGTAATGAATAGTTAAAGCTTGGATAAAAATGAGCTGCTCAAAGATGAGCCTTTTTGTTTTTCTGTTAAAATTGATTTTGAAGATGACTCTAAAGAGGTCAATCTTGAGGAAAGAAACGTGGCAAACTATCAAGCACTCCCTTGAAAGTCTGTACCCAAAGGACAACCTATATCATAAAAGACGCTAGAAGATTTGAAATCATCCAATAATGTTAAGAATTTCTATACGGATCTTGTTGGCAATGCAAGCATTGAGGAAGATACAGGTGTTTTCAGTGGTCAACCAGATTATCAACTTGAGCATGAACAATACAAACTTTTCAATCCGGGTTCTTGATTGTTTCCTAAAACGTGTGACTATTATTCGTTTAGATTCATGCAAATTTTAAATAAGTACATAATTGAGTTTAAGAATACAAAATTTGACATTCAAGCTATTATTTCGCTTTAAAAATAGTTTGACTTTAGTGCATTTTTAATTTTTTAATGAATATAATGCGATTAAAATAAAAAACAATTCTGTAAAGTGTTCCTCATTTTGCATTATACGACCAACTAACATTTATATGTTGTAGTTACTGAATAGAAGGAAAAATTCCTTTTTAAAGCATTACTTGACCAGGCGCGATTTTATTTCGTTAGGTTTCAGGTATCAGAGTTTTTGAAAAAATTATCACATAGCTTCACAGAACAAAAATTTGTTAATTCTATCGTCTTAATTGATTTCTACCAATATAGTGGTTTTTTTATCCTACGGAAAAAAGCTTTTTGTTGCTTGGTCAAGCCATGCAAAACGCGGTCCAATTGATGCTGAAGGGTGTAAGTCCAATATCAGTGGTCCTTCAAGCTGCGTTGTCAAACAATATTAAATGTAAGAGAAGAGATCACTTGGTTGCTTCCCTCGAAATTGACCCAAGGTGCTTTCAATTAGTTTCTGGATGGACAGTAGAATGGATTTGTCAAGCTGAATCATTGTATATGTGTATGTCCACTCACACCACATTATTATTCTTACACACTTACCAGATATCACAACTTCCTCTCCAGGAGCTGGGGAAGAAATTGTTCTTCCTCCTTTTCGATTGAACTCTTTTTCTAAGTTAGACATGATGGGGATCGTCTAATACCCTGTAATCATAATCATATTGTTAGTATAAGTGCACGTAGTCAGAATCAAGTGTAGTTCATAGAGCAGTATACAGGGTGTTTCAGTTTATTGTTGCATAACTTTAAGATTCGACAGAACTTTTAAAATTAATGCATAAATTCTATATAAACATGGGTCGAAAAATGTGTGGCTTCCGAAATACAGGTTGTTTAAATTTACTTTCTAAAATAGTTTTCTTTAAATATTTCGAACAATATTTGATGTATAACAGTGAAAATTGGTATACAAGGGTTTTTTGGTACGACAAAACGAACCATGGGCATAGTTTTACTGTAGGCGCTAGAGGGCGCTCTCTACTGTACCTGTAGTGTATTAAAAAGACCGAAAATTTTTTCTTAGTGCAATTTTTTGCTTTTTGAATAAAAAGACTGATTCTTCGCACTTTTCAGCATAAAAAAGCTCTCTTGTGAATTTTCGTTATAGTTAGCCGTTTTTGAGATATTTCGATTTTCAAGGTTCGGTGCATTTTTAATTATTTATGATAAAATAACGTTAAAATAACGTAGACCTGTTACTCTGCGTACACTCTATCGCCGCATTCGAACTATTCAGCTTTTTTCGTACCGTCCTCGATTAGTGCTTCCTCTGACTGCGGACCACTGTCGTCGACGTTTGAAATGGAGCAGAGAGCGGTAACATTGGGAGGCAGAATGGCATAATGTCATCTTCAGCGACTAATTGCGATTCTGTCTAGGTACGATGCCCGTAGAAGGGTAAGACGCCGCCGTGGAGAACGGCGTGATATTGTATTTGCTGTTGAGAAGCATGTACACAGGACTGTTGGAGTAATGGTTTGGGGGATATTGCCAATGGTAGGCGATCAGCCCTTTTCTCTGTTCAATGCAATATGACTGCTGCACTTTATGTTGATGATGTCCTACAAACCACTTCACTGCCGTATCTAGAGGGCCGTCCACACGTCCTTTTTCAGCAAGACAACACATCCCCATATTGCTAGTCGTACTACGGACTTTCTTCAAGAAGCAGGCGTTAATGTTTTGCCGTTCACCGGAAATAAATCTAATCGTTTTGCACCATCCGCCACAGACGAAGTTCGAGTTGCTTGGAATGAGGTGCCGCAACCAAGCATCGATTATCTCATTTTATCTAAGCTTCGACCGGGGGGGGGGGGTTCGTCCAACACGTTAAATTTTTTTCTTATTACTTGTCAAGGAAATTTCATCTAATTCTTCAGTCAAGTTGAAGACATTATTTTTTTCTGGGTATAACACTTCTAATGTTACTTAGTATATATTGATATAAGACATAAAAATACATAGAATCAATTTTTTATCCTTATTTTTTTGTTCGTTTTTGGTAAAAAAATCTGGAAATATCTTAAATAATTGTAGAAAATGGGGATGCTTTCGGTATTTCGGAGCTCTTTGGGAACCTTATTTCTGAATTAACCCTCGTATAAAAAGTCAATTCGGTATTAGGACGAAAAACCGGAACCGCGATTTAATACAAAAACATCAATATTTAATCTTTAAAATGTCGATAATTATTGAGATAAATAGTTTTTGTTCTCTCAAAAAAATATGAGTCCTGCGGTTACGCTTGTTGTCACTTTAAACAGTTTTTGAAGATAATGAAGCGTCAAGTGTGATTTTTGGTAACGAGGAAGCAAATTTTCGAATGTTTTCTGCCTCGTATGTCTTTCAAATGAGTATTCGTTTTTTCGCATTAATGGCTAAGACGGCCTGAGAAAGGACTCACATACTGATCTTGAGCCCCATAATAGAAATATTTACAAAGAAAATGTCTGTAAACTCCCTATAAAAACCTGTATGCCACGGACTGGCCAAAAAATAAATCTACTTCTGTTTCCGAGGGTTAGTCATGACGCAAAAACTGACACCTATGATGATTATTTTTTCCTGAATTGTGATAGATAATTGAAACATGAAAAAGACATAGACATTGTAAATATGTTGTAATTGGTTGGGAGATGTTACTTAAAATAGATGTGAAATATTTCTGGGATTCTAGGAGTCGTGCAAAATGATACTAGTAACTTGACGCTCTACACTCGTTTAAGCTACGTTTGTTGCACAAATCATAGCTTATTAAAGTTGCGTTCAAGAGCCGGAGTATGTACTTGATTACAAATACATCTTACATAATATAGAGACAGTACAGCGCCGAGATCACAAAGTTGATGCAGCTAGACTGCTGAAATGTGTGTATATACAGGGTTATCCAAATTAAGTGTCCACCATTAGTAACTTTGTTATTAGTGAAAATACAAAGTTGTTTGAATTAGCAAACTAGTAGCATTTTTAACGCTGGTAAAAATGAGAAATAAAAAAAACAATTGAGAGTCGTTATTTTGATTTTTTTCAGTAAAATAGCATTTTTTTAAATGGAAACCCCTGTATATTATATTTTTTTCTGTTAAAGCATCAAATTTTAAACAAAAAAGTTCACAATGACTTTTCCGCTAAAGTCAAAAATAAAGTCAAAATAACGATAAATACTTTTAATTATTTGCAGTATTATAATATTAGGACGGCTATGAAAACAACATGGCGTTCGCGATTTGACAGCATTAAGATAAGCGACAAATTGTTAAACTGGACATACTCGCAACTAGAAGGCTTTGGAAAACAATGATAAAATCAAATAATGTCAAACATTAGTGTAAATACTTGTTTATAAGCTTTATTGTGTCATTAATTTAAAGAAAAATGTTCTCCCATGAAGAAAAGTGTGATATGTTAGAATGCTATTTAGTGTGCAGAAAATCCTCCTTGAGAGCAAGAGAATACTACAGTGAATTATATCCCGCTCGCATTCAACCGTATGAACGATATTTTCTGAGACTTTATCGAAAATTTAGGGGCAACGAAAATGTTTTTGCTAAAACAAGGGCAAAAAAAGAATTCATAATAAGCGAGGCCACGGAAATTGCAGTTATTGGATATTTTGAAGCTTATCGTGAGAATTCAATAGCAGATATTCTCAAGGACTCTAAATTCAGTTATGGTACTGTTCAAAGGATTTTAAAAAAATACAAATTTATTCCGTATAAGTACCGACCAGTTCAAACGCTTTTGGCAGGGGATCCAGAGAGAAGACTTGTTTTTTGCCATTGGTATCTTAGCTTCTGTCGCCAAAATGTAAATAACTTTCGTTACCTTTTATGGACAGATGAATCAAATTTTTCAAATTCTGGAATGTTTAATAGAAAAAACCACCATTATTGGTCAAGAGAAAATCTTTTGTTAGTACATCCAAGAGGCCCACAAGTCCGTTTCAGTTTCAACGTTTGGTGCGGTATAATTGGTTCAAAAATTGTTGGCCCGTTCTTTTATGAGGGAACCCTAACTGGTGAAAGATATGTGGAATTTATGTCAGAAATTCTGACTAATTTCTTAGACGAATTGGATCTTATAAGTAGACATCATCTGCATTTTCAGCAAGATGGCGCACCTGCCCACAACTCCAGAGGTACTTATCATTTTCTAAGTACTACTTTTAATGATCAGTGGATAGGAACAAATGGCCCAATACAGTGGCCTCCCAGAGCACCAGATCTAAACCATCTAGATTACTTCTTGTGGGGTTACTTAAAGAACCAAATTTACAAGCGAAGGTACGATAACCTTGACGCGTTAAAGACTGCAGTTAGGGAAAAGATAACCCAGATAGATGGTAGGACCATACTTAAGACAGTTCGAGCAGTTGAAAAACGTGCCCAAAAATGTATTGAAGAACAAGGTGGTGTTTTCGAGCATCTTCTTTAAAAAAAATTGTTATTGTATTTTGTAAGATTATAAGTTGATGTTGAAAATAAAGTTTGTCGATACAATTTAATTGTTTCAGATTGGAGGCCATAACTTCAACAATTTGTAACCTAGGAGAAAAGTTATTGTAAGCTTTTTTGTTTAAAATTTGATGCTTTAACAGAAAAAAATATAATATACAGGGGTTTCCATTTAAAAAAATGTTATTTTACTGAAAAAATCAAAATAACGACTCTCAATTGTTTTTTTTTATTTCTCATTTTTACCAGCGTTAAAAATGCTACTAGTTTGCTAATTCAAACAACTTTGTATTTTCACTAATAACAAAGTTACTAATGGTGGACACTTAATTTGGATAACCCTGTATACACCATCTCTTAAGAAAATGTGAAAATGAGTTTCTCAGTAGAATACAACTTTAACTAAATTTCTGCATAAGTGAAATAGCATTCAAGTAGCCTGGATCCAGTTTATCGGGTAATCCAAGGGTGGAACCTGCGCCACTCCCAGAAAGATTCTACTTGTAAGTTGACTGGAATCAGTAAGTCATAGTTCAAGAATAACTTATTTTGCTCCAGCTGTAATATCTCATCCCAGTCATCAACATGGGCCCAATATGTATGTGATTGATTGAAACCGTCGCTATTATTTCAAAATTTAGATTGCAGCTAGTTAAAGCTAAAAGACTTGACAGTGTCAGCCCGTGACGGTGTGTTGCAGCAAAAACTGTTAACGTAGCAAAATTCGTTCTTCTTGCTGCTTGTAGCGCATAGGATTAGGATCCCTAGGAGGAAGAATCAAATCTGCTCCATTCCAAAGATATGATACTAAACGCATGTTTAGTGTCACAGAGTGGCATAGAAACTCAAAGTTCTATAGAACATCCGAATTCATAATAACGTATTTATCGGATAATAAGCTTTAGAGCCTTTCAAAATACTTCTGCAATATTTGATAGACTATAAGAAAAATATGGACTACAACCCTTATAAGTTTTCCAATACAGCTCTATGTGAAATGCGTTGTCGAGTTCGGTATAAGCCAATATATGGAACTCTACCATTGAGGCTTCCTGAGCAAAGGCACCGGATTGGCAGGATATATTGCGCATAAAGATATAGTTACTTAGTCCATTTCGAGAAAAACACCGACAAAATAATCATGTACGATAAGCTTTTGACTATGAGGTTGACGTTATCGTGAAATTGCTCCCTGGTCCCCAACCTAGCCAGATCCTGCCTATCTTTCACTAACTAGGTACATTAGTTTGACACTTCCTTACCTGCTAGGTACTTATCCACTTGTCATATAATGAAGGCCGACAGTTCACATACACGCACACACACACGACAAAGCCTGCTTGATCAAAGTAGCAACGCCATCGTTTCTTGCCGATACTTATAATCTTTGGAAAGCTTATTAAATATTGAAACACTAACTAACTGTACGTATACCCATGCATAATTTCCAATATTTTAACATAATTTAGCTTGCAAAAATTTAATGCTTTTGTTTAGGCAATGTGGAATTTCATTTCACGTCAGTTGAACCCATAAAATCAAGGCATACAACAATTTTCCATGCCAAAGATTAAGAAAAATATAATAAGCACCAATAATCCCATGATTCATTTACCCTTCATGAAAGTTGGTACAAAATAAACGTCATGGTTTGAATGTATTTATCTTACTGTAAATAACAAGTGAAAAAATTTTCAGCCTTATCAGTTGGACATTCCGGTTTTTATACTGCTTTTTTTTAATTCACTAACACTCTAAAAATGAATATTTCAGCCGCAGTAAAGAATCAACGTTGGGGGATTTTGGTTCTTGACATCCTTTACGATCGGTTACGATGCCTAGAGTACGGAGACCTGTACGATTTCGTCAACTTAGTGAGTTTGATAGGGGCCGTATAGTGGGACTTCGGGAAGCTGGACTTTCTTTTCGGGCAATTGCAGTTAGAGTGCAAAGAAGAGTAGACACTGTGGTTAGGTGTTGTCAGGCATGGCTTCGAGAAGGCCGTACGCAAAGAGCAAGGGGCACTGGACGCCGCCGTAGAACAACAGACCGTGAAGATCGCCGCCTAAGATTATTGGCCTTAAGGGACCGTTTCTCCATTACCAGGTCCATTGCAAATGAATGGTTTGCAGAACACGGAAGACCTATTGGCATGCGAAGTGTTTACCGACGAATGAGAAGTTTTGGCTTGTTTTCATACCGGCCACACTGGGTCCTCCCTTTAACTCAAGAACACCGACGTAATCGCCTTGAGTGGTGCAGACAACGGTCACTCTGGGATCAGGAATGGAACAGTATTTTCTTTAGTGACGAGTCTCGATTTTATTTAGGCATGCACGATGGTCGTGCCAGGGTTAGAAGGCGACGTGGTGAAAGGAGGAATCCACAGTTTTTTGTTGAAAGACATGTTCATCACACTGTTGGAGTTATGGTTTGGGGTGCTATAGCTTATGGCTCCAGGTCACCTTTAATCTTCATTAGAGGTAACATGAACGCGCAGCGTTATATCCACGAAGTTCTAGAACCCCATCTTTTACCCTATCTTGACACCCTGGCAGATCCAACTTTCCAACAAGATAATGCCCGACCACATGTTGCAAGAGTCACAATAGACTTCTTTCAACATAATGATGTCACATTGATACCATGGCCACCAAGATCTCTCGAATTATCCCCAATTGAGCACGTGTGGGATATGATGGGTAGGAGATTGCTCAATTTGCAACGTCCTCCTCAGACTCTAGAAGCACTTCGAGAGGAGTTGGTGGTTGCCTGGAATGAGATACCACAGGAGGACATTGACCACCTGATCAGAAGCATGCCTAGGCGCGTTGGAGAATGCGTAGCACATCAGGGTGCATTCACACATTATTAAAGGTCAAAGGGCTTTAAAGCAGTGCAATCATTTTGAAATTTTTATCATTTACTTATTACGCTTCATTAAGTACTTATACAAAATTTTATTAAAATAAAACCATTTAAACTGGGTGTTCGGATTTACATGTCACTTAGTATATGTACATCATGTCTATTAAATAACCGCATTTTTTGAAAAAATAGTTTTAATCAACACCAAGAAAGCTTGTGGTCCGGACTTGATTCCTGCTGTTGTCCTGAAGAGATGTGCAGCGGAGCTTGCTCCAGCTTTCTCTCGTCTCTTCCAGAAATCAAAACTGCAGATCTGCTCATGTCCAACCCGCCCCAAAAAGGATCCAAGACTGACTGTTACACCTACAGATCTATAGCTCTGCTCTCTGTTATAACAAAAGTGGGAGGTTTGAGCAGTATTGTTTCCGGTAACAGTGATTTGCGTGGGATCTCCTAGCTTATATCACGCAACTGTGGTTCGGTTATTTTTGGAACAGACGTGTACTAATACTTATATATCAGCTTAAGTACAGGGTAATGTCGCAGCTCAATGGCAGTCGGTCTTTCTGGACGCTGGCCAAGCAGATTAAAAAGAACTTCTCACAAACTAGCCTTCCACCTGTACGTGTCTGGATGGAACGATTGTATCCGACTCAAAGGCCAAGGCGGAAGTGTTTGCCAAGATCTTTGCTGTCAACTCCACCATGGACGTCCTCCCCAACGCCCAAGTGCCGTCAATGCAAAGGGTCCCCTGCATTATGCGGGAGGTAATACTCAGGCATAAGACCGTAAGATGAGTACTCTTGCTGCTCAACATCAACAAAGCTTCTGGTCCGGATTTAATTCCTGCCATTGTACTGAAGAGGTGTGCAGCGGAGCTTGCTCCAGTTCTTTCGAGTCTCTTCCAGATATCTTATTAATCCGGCACTTTCCCAGAAAACTGGAAATTTGCTCATGTACAACCCATCCCAAAAAAAAAGGATTTAAGCCCGACCCTTACAACTACAGGCCTATAGCTCTGCTTTCTGTTATTAGTAATGTGATGGAGAGATGCATAAATCGCGAACCTATGGACTATCTCGAACGTCACAGCTTGATTAGCGACATGCAGTATGGTTTCCGGCACCAGCGATCCACAGGGTACCTCCTAGCTTACCTCACGCAATCGTGGGTTGCACTCATCCAGTCATATGTTGAGGCTCATGTCGTTGCTCCTGATATCACAGAAGATTTCGACCAGCTGTGATGTACTGCCCTCTTGTGCCAAATTTCATCGGAAAGTATCCGAGAGAAGGTTAGCAGATGGATGACTGACTTCACCTCAGGCCGCAAGATATCCGTCGTAATCCGACCCACAGCTTTGCTTTGCTGAAAATTAGACGTAATTTTACCACATAACTTCCTGTCTCTATTCAAATCCCATGTAAGGTCTCGCCTCGAGTACTGCTCATATGTTTGGGGTAATGCCGCCCTACCGCCCTCACTACACTATCCATGCTCGATGCTGCTTAGAGAAGAGTTGTCCGAGAGCTCGATAACTCCTCTTCAACGGGCAGTCTTGGGACACTTTTACACCAATGGACCGTCGGCGATTTGGCTCCCTTCTACCGCTATGTCAACAGGCTTTGCTCCTCAGATCTCGTCTCCATGATGCCGCCTCGCAATGAACCTACCAGTCAGCCCGCCTCACTAAAATTAAAATTAAATATAATTTTTTAGATGTCAGTAACTTCTGCAATGAAATAAATTGTGAATTTTTTGCTATTGAAATTTATGAAACGAATTTGTTGGTTGTGAGCTTGTAAGGTTTGCTAGTGGGGATGTGAATGTCTTTTTACTTAACCTAGGCAGTCTATTAGCCCGTTTTCACAATAAATATAATAAGCTGATTATTTTAAGCAATTTCAATATTGATTTTAGCAGGAATTCAACTGCTTTATCTGATTTGGTGCATATCACCCTATTTGACGGTATAAATATTGAAATAAGCGATGTTACTAGAATTACTCCAACCACTGAAACATTAATAGATAATATGTTACATAAGATTTATGATGAACGGTTGGAGGACTCTGGCATTCTTGACCCCTGAATCTCTGATCACAAAGGTCAGTATATGATTTTTTGTTATCAATTTCGACTGGTCTACTGCTAGAGCCCTGAGTGTGACTCAGAATATTTAGGTAACTTTTTATGAACGATCTTTGAGCAACTTATAAAACATACTTTTCCACTGAAAAATGCACATAATAACCTATAATCAATATCCTGTTAAATGGTTCGATAATACTCGTACATTGAAAGCTATGACGGACACATGTTTAGCAATTAAGACCGTAGTGACAGATTTAAGTGCTTATAGACGCTACAAATCGATGTACTTCAAAGCCGCTTGCGTAGTTAAAAGAACCTATGAAAATGTGCCTTTACATTGCAAAGGACATCTGGAACATAATCAAAGAGGCATTCATCGTCATAAGTTCAATGAAGTTTTCATTAGTTTACCAAAGCAAATAATTGTTTCTCTAGGTTCTTGTGGAATAACGATAAAAAGTTTTCTTATAAGATTTCCGTCTCCGAATAATTCTTTTTTATGACTTATGCTACATAAGAGGAGATCTTGGATGCTATTAGGGTTCTTAACATGTCTTCCTGTTGAAACTATTATGGAATTAATGCCAAACTGATAAAACTAATTTAAGATACCTGGACCGTCTCTAATTTATACAATTTGCCTTAACGAAGGTGATTTCAGACCTATTACCATTAATCCAATATTTGCAAAAAAATTATTCTGAAGAATAGAATAGAAATAAAAACATCGAAGCAAGTAATGCATCGCATTGTTGTCAATTTGGTTTTAGATTGAAATGTTCAACAATCATCGCTATAATAAAAATTGTTCATACAATAGCCGAGTGCTTTGAGGATGGTCAACATGTGTCACTTACACTGTGTGACCTTTCCAAAGCTTTCGAATGCATATCACCCAATTTATTAATAACAAAAGTAGAAACATGTGGCTTTAGAGGTCACGAATTACACCTATTTCACTCGCATCTATGCGACACAAAGCAGTGTGTTATGGTACACGGGAATGTGTCCCATCTAGAGGACATTTGCTTTGGGGTGCCCCAGGGTTCAATCTTGGGCCCTTGCGTTTTTATAATATACCTAAACGGATTATTCCATCATATGCCAGGCCTTTGTGTACCATAGGGTGTACCGAGATACGTGTTTCCAAAGCAATGACAGAATGACACCAAAAATCAAAGAACTGTTAAGACTGATCCGGGATCGATTCTAAGCCAAGTCGACACAGTTTGCGATTCATAAATCTTTGCGCTCAAAATAAAACCATTATTTGGGCGTGGAAAACAAACTGAAGCTTATTTCTATTATGAATCATTTATTCAATAAAATGGTGTAACGTTTGACAACACTACAAATTACAGCACTCTTTCGAACCTACGTATTGCATGGTGTTGCATGCTACTCTCTCTGTCTCTTGTACAAATTGAATGCGACGCTCAAAAACGTAGATGAATTTTACTGCATATGC